AAAAGCTAACCACTTCATATCTGAACGAGTATTTGGATGAATGGATTGAGTAACTACATTCAATAAAATTAATTATATCACAGGTAAAAGTGGAAATAAGTTCAGGATTCATAGAACCTTTAAGTTTAGTTTTGAGTCAGAAATACATGTAACTGCTATCCTGATGAATAACCATAGATCAGCATTTGCAAACTTTCGGTGTGGGGTAGTCCCGTCCCCATTAGACTTGAAACTGGCAGATATAAAGGTTTAACTTTAAACAAAAATTGTCCAATCTGTAAAACTGGCATTGAAGGTGAGAAACATTATTTCGTAAAGTCTAAAGTTTGAGGATATTAGGAAAGATTTATTTGTCAAAGCAGAAAATGTAAACGAGTTTTTTTTAAGTCTGTAAGATGACAATAAGCTATCGATGTCGTTCTTTTTTTAATACTGTGCTACAATATCCTGTTTCAATTTTCTTAAAAGTAGTACTAACTGGCTGTATTCCTGAGAAATGTCTTTTATAATGTTACTTTTAAATTATTAAATATTTTACCTAACAAATTTTCTCGATGTCTCTTGAAATGGTATACGAACTCATGATTTATGATTAGTAATGTGAAAATATTTTATCCACTAAATGATTTTATAGGTTAAGAATCTGTTGTCAATAGGTCTAAGAATATTATGATAATCGTTTAGGGTAAGAGAACCTAGCTAGGGTGTTCACTACAAAGCAATATTACCAGAACAAGATTATCATATTGCAATGTAGGCTTGGGAGTTGCCTCCCTTCCTCTGTCTCTTGTAAGATAGGGAAAAAATCAATCTGACTTTATGTAAAAGCGGAGCGTTATTTAGAGCTGATTTTAATCAGTTTTGGGAAAAAAATATTAACCATAATAAGGCGTATGATAACAGCTGTATGGTAAGGCATTAAACTATCTTATGTTTTCAGAGAAATACTTTAAAGTTAAAGTGCAACAAAACAATTTCACGAATTTTACTATATTTCAGATATAGTATGTGCTTCTTTTTTATTACAACGGAAGACATATCCACTTAATTAAGATATACTCTTTCATTACATGAAAATTCCCAATTAATATATTATTTATTCAATATTTAATCAGATTAAAAATGTTATATTGATTTTAGTAGTGTACAATTGATGTAATTAATTAAGTTTCAATTGAAACTGACTTTACAGTCAAACCTGCGACTAAGACCTCGCAAAGGATAAATATAGCATGACCTGTATAGACAAGTGTTCCTTATCAAGAGGATTCTGTATTCTGTTTAAGGCTCTGTCACACTAGACTGCGCTTTCACTGCGTCTGCACGTCGTTGTTAAATTTTACAAACCGCCGCGAGATAGCAATAAAAATATGATATTTTTGATGACCTGGAGACTTCACGGCGTCCTCACAGCGATCATGGCGATGGTACAAAGTTTAAACGACGTTTAAATTGGCGATTGTCTGCGTTCGGACTGCGCTTCTACTGCGCTTTTTGCGCTTCCACTGCGCTTTTATGGCGCTCACACGGGCCCACACTGCAGCTCCGTAATTTAAGCGCGATAGAGACACCGCAAAATCTCCGTACAAGCTCCGTACAAGCGGCTTTCACTGCGCTCCTGTTGCCTTGTAGGCGATTCTACTGAGTTGCTACGGAGTCTTTACTGCGACCCCGACGGCGTTTGTTTTGAGCGCGCATTCGGTCGGCGTTCTATGCGATGCCAGTACGACGTTTAGGCGATGCTGCGGCGAAGTTTGCGATCTTACTGCGCTCACCTTGGCGTTCTGATTTCTGAGTTTTTTGGACGCCGTAAAAACGCCATCCTAGTGTGACATTAGAGAGTTGTTTAAGGGTGGCATATGTTTTGTAGAATGATCTTTAGTTGGATTTTTTGCACGTTTTGGTTGTTTATTGGTTGCTAGTAGAACATAATGTTGAAAATGCTTTTTACATGTTTGTACACTACGGGAAATAAAATGTTCATTGCAAAAAAGATATACTCTTCATTTGCATTCGAATCTAGTTCGGTTACTGTGACAATTATATTTTGATGATTTCACTGTCTACTGAAAAGCATGTATTTTCTTGAATTCTGGATAAGGTGTTAATATGTTAAGCACAAAAATATCTAGAGGAATAGAGAGAATTTTGACACTGTTTTACTTGAAAACATCGCATTGTTATTTTTTTCACTATTTTAACTATTTCATTCTTCAAATACATACATGTAAGTTCGTTTCTTTTTGTTCTTATGAAACAATGTATCAACTATGGAGAAAAAATAGAAAAAAAATTAACAGGTTGGTTTCTGTTCATAGAATGAAATTTCGTGAAATATAGAGTTAATCTCCCCTTGCCCATTCCCCTTGTTATTCCATAACTAGAATAAAAGAAGCGACTTTCATACATGTTCATTTCATCCATTTATTAACCCTTTCCTCATGAGCATATTGTGAAAAATGGCCGTTTTTATTGAAAAGCCTCCTGTTACATGATCAAACTGCTATGAAACTATGAAAAATGCTTCAATACTAATCAAACTTGGCACAGATATTGACTTGACAATTGCCTTTGTAACAACATGCCCAGGCTTAAATTTCCTGTTACCATGGCAACGAGGGGACAACTCAAAATTGCCGAAAATCACTATTTTGAGTTTTGCGTTGATTTTTTTCCATCAAAATTGATTTCAAAGTGCTGCAACTTCTTAATGGATTGAGATAGAGTCAAAGGCTTTTCAGCATTGGTTACACATTACCTTACGATCCACCTGGTGTCATTTTTAGCCTCTCCCAAGTTCAAAATTTTCTTGGCGATGAGGGGGACTACCGCCCCCCTTTACTCCTCATATAGAAGGGGGCACATCCTCCTTCTGGTAACCCCGTGAAGTACCTTTTTAATAGGGGGCGGCGCCGAAAAAGTGTTTTGGGCCTAAATAGGGCAATTTTTCACTGTTTTATAATTAGGGAAATGTAATATACATGTATAAAAATTTTAAACTTTTTCGGCGCCGCCCCCTATTATTCAATACTTTTGAGAACAAAGTATGATAGTATGTAAGCCTCATGAATATACTTCACAATATAATTTATACCATGCAGTTTTAACCCTAAACCAGCTGAAGTTTTGTAATGAATCTGCCAAGCTTTCACTTTGGGACAGTCCATTCAAAGTTCAAAAGAGTTCAAAATCAAAATTGGACTACTAACAGTTTAGAGCCTTGGCCAGCTGCAAGGATGTGCAAGTTGGGTCCACCTGTTCTATCATTGTGGGAAGGGCTAATACCATTTTGGTCCCAGCAGGTTATTGTACATTACTAGTACACTGAACCATTGCACTTTCAGATAAAAGGAATGTTGCTTAACACATGGGTGATAATTATTTATACTTTTTATTTCATACATGTTTTTAAAAAAAGAATATAATTTTCTTCAAATAAAAGTCAATATACATACTTTCTGATTATTACAATTAAATATTGTGCTTCCTTTTTCAACAAATCAAAAAGAAGTATCATATCAACTTGTTTTGCCTTACATTAGCAAATACATGTATATATGCAAAGAGGAAAACAATTTCTAAAATAAAGGAATACATCCTTATTCTATTGACAGTAAATTCCTACAAGAACATGTGTTTAAGCATAACTGACATAAAATTAAACCTCTTGTCAGATGTTTTATCACAAATGTATAGAAAAAAGTATCACAAAATATTTTTTTTCATTATCATTCTGATGTACTCCTGTACAACTCATACATGTACATTCATCATATACAGTATTTAGTTCTACCAAGGATATATAATGTATACTATAACTGTATATAATTAACACCCTGGTTCTACATGCAATGCATACAGAATTCTGTACAAGAGTACCTCATGCAGTGTTTAACTTCAAGGCTTGTCTGTTAAGGGAAACAACTCTTATATGAAAGAACTGTAAATAACTTTTTTTTTGTGACTATCCTTAAGTAAAAACATCCTAACTCTTTAAAATGATGCTTTCAGTATAATGCCAATTTTCTTATAACTGTGCCTTGCTATAATTTTCAAGTATTCAAAGTTTCATTTTGATAGCTTTGATAATTTTAAAATCATCCTACTTAAATAGCAATTTTGCAAAAAAAAATTTAGTTTAAAATGTACATAATTCCAAAAATATAACTCTCTGTATAATTCTTCTTGTCTTACAAGTGTGCCATGTCCTGATTAGCAAGTATTCCAAGTTTAATGTTGATAACCTTTTAAATGTTTGAATAATGGCCTATATGGAAGTTTTTACATGGCAATGACAATGCAGATATCATAATAGCTAAACTTTTTCTTTTATTCAGACGAGCTAAAATGCTGATATATGCCTATAAAAATAACAAAAAATCATAATACAATACAATATATAATGTAAAAAAAAAAATACATGACCATAACATGACATGTCAAAATTGAATTCCAATGATAAAATATACAAAAAATTCAACAACACCTGAATAAATGAATATTTTGATAGTCGTTGGACAGTCAATTCAGTGTAACAATTTTTACATAAAACAAACCAGTTTCAGTTACGTCCCTTGTTCTGTCTTGTATCAAAATAGCCTTTAACCCATAACCTGCTGAATTTATGTAGTGGATTTGTCCTGCTTTGTATGGATGAAGCTAAACTATGTTGTTTGACCTTTATTTTGAATATTCGTATCAACCTGTGCATTATAAATCCAAGGTGTATAAGGAATATTTTTAATTTGTGATATTAAACAGTGTGCTTTGCTGTAAGCCATTTTATAGGGAAGACCACACTGACACTAAAACCATGCATCTTCTATTTAGAAGTGGTGTGTCCATCATTAGCAACCATTAATCATGCAGAAAGCATAGTGATAGTTTAAAAGTATTTATATTTGAAAAAGTCTCTTTCATAATAAAGGGATTTCATTATAAAAATACAAATATTGAGTCATCAACAGTATTGAGCTAGGTCAGACTAAATGAATGTACAGACTAGCCTAGCTCTTTACTTGTGACAAAGGTTAATCACTTTTAGTTCCAGCAGGATAATGGTTAAGACTTTTGTAATAAGCAATATATAGAGACTGAACAAAATCATTCATCACTGTTAAGGAAATTTTTAAAATATGCACAAAAATATGCAAAATATGCACAGACTAAAAAGCAAAACAATAAGAATAAGATCATGGTCTGTACTGATTGCATGGGTACTATAAGTTACAGCCAGCAGGCTAATGGTTAAATGTTTTAACATTTAAAAATTAAAATTGAGCAACTATCAGTACATAGCCAGGTTTGTTGGAAGCTTCAGAGATTATAGTATCAAAATTATCCTGATATAATAAAGTCCTCTCAGAATGTTAAGACATGTAGACCTGGGTGGCACCATACGGGTAGTAAGTTGACAAAAGTTCCTATTATCATCGTTAGCTCTCAATGAATTACACACATCTGGTTGCCAAAATATTGCGTCTCTTCATAATGATTTTGTTAACTAATAATGTTAATCACATCTCTACAAATTATGTTACTAATACTGATAATCACATATTATGACAGTGTCGGTATATGATCTTTATCCGTCCAAACAGTCACATGATCAGTTGATGCTCCAGGAAGTTTTAAAGTATCTTCAATTCTACCATCATACAGTCCATATACACCACCTATAAACCAAAAGTTGAAGAACATGAGAGAAAAGAAACATTTTAATATACAAATATAACAATATAAATAAGTAAATTAATAAACTTTACTTGGATACTAGATTGCAGTAAAAAAGCCAAGGTTCACATTAACATATTATTTCAGGCTCAAGCAGATTATCTTCAGTCAGCTAGCTGAATACTTAAAACAAATAAAAACCCTTAACTTCAAGGCAAACAAGATTCAAATCTGCCACCTCCTCACATAAGCTTTTCAGCAAATAACTAATAATTATAATATTTTATCAAACTGTCCTCTCCAACAACATTGATAATAACCAAAAGCACCTGGGTACAATGTTAACCTGGCTGAAATCAGACAGACAGGTTCATTACCTTAAACAATCATTTATCTGCTTTGTTAGTTGTTAATCACTTTATCACCGTAATCTACAGTATGAAGATTTTCCTAGGGTATAACTGCACAAACTCAATTAGTCAGAAATCAAAGTCAGCTTTCCTCTGCTACTTGAAACCCAATATTTCAAATATGGTGCACTATGTAATAATAATTATTAAGTGTAAGTTTGGTAATAAAAGTTTGGTAAGATTACCCGTGTGAAGAAATAGGATACGTTGTCCTTTGAACATGTCTGGATTTTGGTGTAGTTCTTCTACAAGACCTTTTACAGCTTTACCTGTGTATACAGGATCCAACATTATTCCTGTTGATGAACTTATCTTTACAATAAAATCTGAAATAAAAATGGAACATGTCAAATACAAAATTTGGTAAAGAGACAACAGACAATGCAAATAATTTTAGATTAAAGGTCAGTGTGTTTATTGGATTATTGACTACACAATTAGTCTTTAAGGTTTATATAGAAAATATAACATCAACAACTGCAAGAAAAAGAAACATAAATACTCAAATCTGCTATCATCTACAACAAAAATGTCATCATTATAATTTTAAGTTTCATCGTCATCATCATTTATACTATCATAAGTATCAACAAAAACTTCAGCAAAAGTGAAAACAAAACATGAAATAATAATTATCATCATTATCAAACTTTTTAAATTATTTTCTACCAATGTCATCACCACACATATTGTCATAAAGCAATCTTTGTATACAAAGCTTCTTAAGCTGGGGTGGCCGAGTGGTCATTGACTTCAAACCATTTGCCCCTCACCGCTGTGGGTTCGAATCCTGACAGGGACTTTGGATTGTTTCATGTGAGGAAGCTATCCAGCTAGTTTACGGAACGTCGTTGGTTCTCCTCAGGTGCCTGTTGGAGCCTAAAATAATGAATGGAGGGCCACCTGAGGTCTTCCTCCACTAGTAAAGTTAGAACATCGCCATATGACCTATACTGTGTCGGTGTGACGTAAAACCCAATCAAACAAACAAACAAGCTTCTTAAGCTTATAAACTAGTTGCATATTTATGACAAGCTATCACATACAATGTCAATAAAAATTTCAACTTTAAATAACAATTTTTTAAAACAAAGTAATACCAAGTTCTTCTTGTGTAGATATACCATAACCTTGACCTTTATGACCTTCAATGATGTCAAGGATATCTTCTGACCTTGCTGACAACCCTACTGTTTGGATCATCTCGTTACAATGGTGGTGGAAGTATCGTGCATCGTCACTCACTGCAACACCATGGATTCTGTGTTATCAACATAATGTTGAAGATGAATTTCATTTAAAAAAGCATCATCATACTTCTTTGACATTAAAGCAGCAGGTTCTTTGAAAAATGTTAAATTTTACGAAAATTGTTTAAATTGTAAAAATGCTATCTCAAATCAAATTATTTAAACCTAGTCTCTGGCAATTACTTCCACAGTAGTTATCTTTAAACTGTCAAAATAAAGATTATGCAAGACTATAGTCCATAGCTTTTTCCCATTAAGTAACAGGGAAAAAATATGGTGAAAAAAAAAAATTAAATTCTATGACATTTCACATTAAACATTCAAACTGTTACACAGAATATTATATTGGTGTAGCTTTTTTACTAAATTTATTGAACTTGTTGAATAAAATATTATTATGCTCGCCAGAGGTTCCATAAATTGAAAATGGAACATTTACTCATTCAATGTACTCTACATTCTGTAGAATTCAAAGTCACTTTGACAATGACTAGTTGGGTTTTAATGATAGAAGATCATTAGAGTAATTCATTTGGCATGAGGAGTTTGACCCATTGTACAGATATTTTTTACTACTGCCAAACAGTAAAAGACATAGCTCATCAAAAATATCCTGATATCTCTTTGACAAATCAAAGTTATTGGACTAGAAGATCATGATGGTTTAACTTATAACTGATTTTTAACCAGCTTTATAGTTAATAAATTGATACAAAAACAATTTAAGGTAGCAAGATTAACAGTTTAATACTACCTTTAATAAAGAATAGTCTTAGTTTTCAAAGAATATAGCTGTGACATACCTTACTTTAGAACCTGTGAGAAAGTTTGCTATAGCAAGACCACCAGCAGTACCACCACTTCCACAGGCAAATACTATATCGTCAAACTTCTCATGTAGGCCTTGAGACAATAATTCTTCAAATACAGATATATATCCAAACAGACCTACAGAGTTCGAGCCACCCACTGGTATCTGATAACACTGCTCTCCAGTTGTCTTCCTTAAAAGGGATAAAAAAACATTACCTAAAACAAACATAGGTATGTACATGTGTATTTACAAATGGGTATGAAAAAAACAATACTTGTCCTGTCCCACTAATTGATAAGAAAAGTTATGGATGAAGTCTACTCAAAAAACATTTTCAAAGTCATAAAAGTTAAAGGTTTTAATTGCAGCTTTTTAAATTACTTAATATGAATTACAACATATATTGTATAAGTTCACTGATTGAAAAAATATTTGCATGCAGTTTTGTTTTACTTATGTATATACAGTTAGAATCAGAATTTTATATACATCTTACTCAATATGTTCTGCTAGTTTATCCATTCTTGGTTTAAGTTCAGTAAGGTAAGGTGATTTTCTTGGGGTAAGATAAAGTTTCGCTGCACACAATCTGTCTAGTAACAAGTTTCCCTGGCAACCAACATCTTTAGAATCCTATATGTAACACTAAACATAGTAAATGACACTTTATTAGAAAATTCTTTTTCAGGAAAAAACTTAATAATATACTGCCATTATATCTATGGTTCTTTTTTAGATTTAGTTTCATCAAATAAATATATTTCTATTACTTAATGCCTTTGCGCTAATATTTATTATTATTATTATTATTATCATCATTATCACTTCTGGCTCTATACTGTTGGCAATGGCTAATCACTTCTGTTTTTCCAGGGGTTTATAAAATGCATTCAAATCATTCAATGTTCATGAAAATATATGCACAAATTGCAATGTCTTGTTTTAGGTACCAGTAAAGTCTTGTAATGTAAATAATAACTAAGCCACTCTAAAATTTACAATTTACCTGAATATCTGTTCGTAGCAGTAAATGAGGAGTCATTCCTAGCTGGCGGGCACTCACGGCAACAGCACGGCAATGGTTAGATTGTAATCCTCCACAAGTGATTACATGCTTGCAGTTCTTAGATATCGCCTCCGCCATCAAAAATTCCAATTTCCTGACCTACCAATGGTAGAATTTCTAATATATGGATACTTTAGAATGACAGGTTTTAGTGGTCTAATATACACATACACACAAAATCTATTCTTATTTGTCAAAACAGGAAAAATATATTCTTATGAAAATTTAAAACTCAAAGCAGTCCCTACAGGCTTAGAGATAGTTATTTATCCTGCTACTGTCTATTTTATTAACTGGATAAAGCCTTGCCAGATAAACTTATCTATCTCCAGTCATTACATCACATGATGACATCACATTGGTTAGCAGCAAAACAAAATTATTAACAGATGCTGTTTTATCAGGTAAAAGTAAGAATGAAACCATTTAAATAATCTTAAAACATAATCAAAGTATACAAAAGCAGAATAAATCAAATACATGGTAGATGTCGGTTTGGAGAAGGTTTATCCGGTTCGCTGCAAAAGTGAATCATGGCTCGCTAAAGCTTGCCAAGATACTCTTTCATGCTCACTCGATCCCGACATCAACCATGTATTCTCTATGTAATGCTTTAAAAGAAACCTTTTTTGTAAGAAACTTAACGTTAGTTACAATATTATTGGATGATACCTTATTTCCTGACAGAGTGCTACCTGTCATGTCATCCCTTTTGATTGACAAAGTAAATTGTTCTGGTAATCCAGGAATGTCCCATTGGTGTATTGGTGTGTTCCCATTGGCAAGCTGTAATACAGTGAAAATAATCATACACGTTTTCATACTTTTATAAATTAAAGTAAAAAAAGCATTAAAGGATGCAATAAATGTATTTTTATAAGCATTTTCACAGCATGTTGGTGTCACCTCTATCATAGTAAGATTATTCAAGTAGAACAGTGCAACTTTTCTTTTTTATGGGAAGGAAGCAGGCCCGAGGGCCCCATACCCCTAGAGAGGGAAAACCTGTGACATGGAGAGAAAAAAAGGAAAATTCAGAAAAGCATATCCCACTTTAAATTGAACTGAAGTTTAAACCTGATCTAAAAAAAACAAACAAAAAACATTTTTTTTCTGCTGCACGGGGAATTTTTTTTTATAAAAAGGGGAAAACAAAAACTTTTTACAGAGAGGAATGGGGCTGAACTATGCTCCAAACTGGGCCTTAAATAGCACTGCAAAATTAATACTTTCTTATATTTCTTCATCAAATATAGGGGAGCCATGGCCGAGTGATTAAGGTCATTGACTTTAAACCACTTGCCCCTCAACGCTGTTGGTTCAAATCCAGGGACTTTGGATTCTTTCATATGAGGAAGCTATCCTGCTAGGTTATGGAATGTTGTTGATTCTACTCAGGTGCCCATTAGAGTTTGAATAATTATATGCTTGGAGGTGCACCTGAGGTCTTCCTCCACCAGTAAAGCTGGAAAGTTTCCGTATGACCTCTACTGTGTTGGTGAGACATGAAACTTAACAACTTTTTCATAGACCAGAGATGAAAGTTAAAAGTTATCAATTCATTTCTCTCTCATTTCTCACAGTTTAAATCATTTCCTTGCAAAAATAATATATATTCTGACAAACTAATTGGTCTTAACTGTCCAAGCTTTAGAGAGAGCAAAACATATCAAGAAGAATTGTTTAAATTAAAATACTTTAATATACAGTAAATTACAGAACAAATGAATAAAAAGACAATTCAACAGGACAACATCAAAATTCAAATATTTTAAAGAAAACCCAAGACAATTTTAATGACAGTTCTATTTCAGTTAAGAATAATCTATTCCCCAACATTTACAATATAAAATTGAAGAAAATAATCTAAAAAAAAGACAAATTTATAAAATACTGATTCTTATGTGCCATTCAGCCTCACCTGAATTTTTTCTTCAGGTATACTTTTTAAAGTCTTTGCCCATTCAGGAGGATGGTATTTACGAAGCATTTTAAACAATATTGAATTGTTTGTCTGTTGATGGCAATAATGCAAAACTGTGCTAAAAGGGTGATTCTTTGCAAGTTTTGAAAGTAACCTGGACTTTGACATTTGTTAATTTGTTTTCCAGTCCAATCTCTTTATCTTGGTCCTGCATACTCCTATGCAAAGAACAAAAGTATTCCAACTTTCTAGATAGTTTAAAAACCTGTACCGAATTACGGTAAAGGCATGAGCCCACTAAATCTCAATAATCTCCACGCAGTGATCTCCCCTTAATTCTTCGGCGCAATTCTGCCAAGGGAGGATTGAGGAGTTGGTCTCAAACCGGTCCGAACCCGTTGTAGAAAGTAGTTCTTTAAAATTTTGAAGTGGCCCAATATAAGTCATCTCTAGTTAGATTGGTCATAATTAAAGTGTATTTATTCGGTATAGATGGATACCGAAAATAAGTTATTTTCGCGAAAATAAGATCGCGGCTACGAAAATAAGATTTATTTTTTAGATAGTGCATTTATCTGTTGAAATAATTATATAAAATATATATTAATGCATTCATTGAATGATTTTACTACTACATGTACGAAAATAAGATCCAATTGATGATCTATACGAAAATAAGATCTGCAAACAATTAAAATCCGTATATATGAATTGATATTTGTACGAAAATTAGATCCAATTGAAAATATGATCTATGCCAAAATAAGATATATATAATCTGTATGGAAATTATGTTTTCGACTAAGATTTTTACAAATATTTTTATAAGATCTGTGAATATGAAATTTGCATGAAAATAAAATCCTTACAAAAATAAGATCTATACGAAAATAATACAAATGTATTAGTATGAACATAATATCTGTTTCAGAATGATACGAAAAAGAAATCAAAATCTGTAAACAATAAGATATTTATATGAAAATAAGATATCAATATGGAAATGTTTTTTACCAAATTATAAAACATAATTGAAAATACGTGTAGATTCTAATATGAAAATAATATCTATATTAAGTAAAAGAAAAGTATATAACTTTATTGCTTTAAGTGCTTTAATTAGATAATGCATAAACAAGATATTTCTATTTGAGGGAAGGAAAAAAATGACACAACGTATGACACGTGCACATGACTGTCGGCAGCAATCAATGCGCTAATACGATGATTGGATTATTGAATTTTCGCACTTATCGTAATTGACACACACTTATTAAAGCCCATCATTAAAGGTGTTTATTTGCGATTTATCATAGTCACCAATCATATCAAATTTTCATATAGATATCTTATATTTTTACAGATTTTTTTACAGATTTTGTTATCAAAAAAATATACTGTATATATATTTTTACACAGATCTTATTTTCGTTAAAGATCTTATTTTATAAATACATTATTTTCATATACAGATCTTTTTTCTTTCTATTTTTCGTAAAAATCTTAGTAGAAAACAGACATTATTTCATACAGATCTTATTTTCATATAAATCTTATATTTGTGCGTATTATTTTCTTACAGATCTTATTTTTTTCGTATGGATCGCATTTTTATAGGACCTTATTTTCATATATATAGTATTTTCATACAGCTAATATTTTTTTACATATATTATTTTCAAATGTATCTTATTCTCGTAAGGATATTATTTTCATGCAACTTTCATTTTCACAGATCTTACATTTGTAAAAAATCTAGTCGAATACAGACAATATTTTCATACAGATCTTATTTTTGCGTTTAAACGGTTGGCTGTAGAATATGGATGCTTTTACTATATTTCTTAGAGTTTTATTACTTAGACAAATAATTGCCAGTCCAAAAAGCGACAATTTTATGCGGGCCTCTTGCTAGCAGTTTCCTTGCAGTAGCTAATTCTTGAGCCTTCTATTACTGTGAAAAAGACCCTTTAGACCATCACCATCTCTTGATCATTCCACTTTTTTTCGTATATTTTGAATTGGATCTTTTTTTTTTTGTACATATAGTATTTCCATACAGATCATATTCTCAATTACTATTATTTTTGTACAAATATCAATTCATACAGGTTTTGACTTTTAATTTTTTACAGATCTTATTTTCGTACAGTCATGTAGTACTTTCATAAATATATAATATTTTCATACATGTATTAACTATTTACAGAAAGATCTTTAATTTTGGTACGTATGAACATTTTTTCATACAGCTTTTATTTCCTTACATATTTTATTTTCGTAGAGTACTGTTGTGATTTTATTTTCGTACGGTACATATTCTTATATAGATCTAGATTTTATTTTCGTAGTCGTTATTTCAGGTTATTTTTGCAATAGTTCTTTTTTATTTGGATACTTTTCACCACAAACATTTTTTGTCTTATAAGAGAACATTTCATTCTTAAAACTTATTTGGAAAAATCAGTGAAGTAAATACTATTTTAATATAAGTTATGAACCATGTAAATCATATATATATATTTTCGTAGATGCCCTCTTGTTCATGCGTTCTTACAATACCAAATTTGGAATATTTACCATATTTGCCGCACAAACGTCTAATATTTCATTACAAAACATTTTATTCTTTATTATTTCATTCAAACAAATTATTTAATAACAGCAAAAATAGTTTCTGATACATTATATTCAAAAATAAATCTTATTTTCGTAGACCCGATCGTATTTTCGATTTACACGGCAATTCAAGCTATTTTCATACGATAGTATTTTCGGTTCAAACTTCACTTTTTTAAATATATTTTTAGTTCTGAAATTTATTATTTCATTCATGCAAATCAATTATTTAGAAACAAAAAATACGTTTTTAATACATTATATCAAAAAGAAATCTTATTGTCGTAGACCCAATCTTATTTTCGCTTTACGCGGCAATTTGAGTTATTTTCGTTCGATATATAGTATTTTCGGCTCAAACTTCACTTTTTTAAATATTTCTTTTTATTCTGAAATTTTAATTTGCTGTAAAATCATTCAATGAATGCATTAATATATATTTTACATAATTATTTCAACAGATAAATGCACTATTTAAAAAATAAATCTTATTTTCGTAGCCGCGATCTTATTTTCGCTAAAATAGCTTATTTTCGGTATCCATCTATACCCGTATTTATTGCATGTGTGTAGTTTTTGTGTGTTATATGATGACTTTAAAAGTTGTTTTTTGTGTATTCTCCAGGAACTCATTTGTTGGCGGAAGGATTAAAGATGTACTACCCACCAGCTGTCTGGAGTTTTTAAAGTGGTGAATTTAAACAGTGTTACAACAGAATGAAGATTTCTGAAAAAAGTAGATGGCTTACCTGTTATATTTTGGGCCTCATTGGACTGAGATAGTGTTAATGTTAAATTTGAATTAAGACAGTACATAATTCATCAAGAACAGTGGAATGCAGAATTAAGCCTCAAATGTGACTGATTTACTATGGAACAAATACTACGAAAATTCACCGGGCCGAGTCCTATAGAGAAAGGTCGTTATTTTGGTATTGAAAAAATAGAACATGCTCACTTTGTAACCAGCAAGAAATAGGTGATTAATTTTACTATATTTTTAAATATAGTTATTTTACTCATGAAAGACACAAGTATATCAGTAATTATTACTCAAAGTTTCCTAGTATTTTAAATTTTCAGGCTCTAATTAATGTGTAGCGACAACAGAAATACTTTATGTAATCTAGCCATTTTTGTTAAAGCAATAATGCTGAAATTTCACCAATTCATCTTCCTTATTTACTTATTTACTTCTATGCCATGTTTGTATTATTATTTTTTGTATTGTTTGATTGTTCACTCTTATGCCCTTAAGGGCCATGAGTTTTTGTTTATAAATAAAATAAAATACAGATAAATATATTTTCTGTTTGATTTTTTTTTCATATTGTTGCATAAAAGAGTTAATCAATATTTAAAGCTACAATATAAACTAATAAAATAAAGGATGCATGAAAGACATTTTGCATGCCAACTACATCTGTAAGGCAAGCAATAGGCCAGAATCCATAATAAGGCTAAGTTTGAAACCAAATATGTGACTCCCTGAATTGTTGAGACGGGGGACTCAGCAATATGTAAAATACTGTAAATGTTTAAATTTCAACATAATTGCGTGACAATAAAACACATACTGGTCATTGCACATGTACCCCCAGATTCTGTATGGTCATTCAAACATTTTTATTTGTTACTTTAATTAGTCAGGAAACTATATGATTAGAGTCAGAAAACCCCAGAAAATGCATATACACAATGTATATATTTTCTTTCAGTTGTTATTTAACATTATTAATATAGTAGTTTAAGTGTTGCCTTTGAATGCTGATATAGCAATATTATATCCATAATTATGGTAACACTACGGTCACTAACAGACATGCCACAGTCTATGCATTCTGTTGGTCTGATTGAGATAACATACTGTTTTCTGTTCAGTTAATGTTGGTAAATCTCTTATACATGTATAATACTGCTGTTTAATTCAAATTTTGACATTCCCAATTCATAAATTCAGCAAGGAAAGATTAAGAAATATGGGTATAAATGTGAGCCTCCAACAAACCTAAGGCTGTCAGCAGACGTTAATTCAGAAATTGTCTCATGTTTGTTTTCTGGACTTACAGGTGCTGGGGTCATGCGTGGAAACTCAGGTTTGATCTCTGCAAGTTACATTACCACTTGACACTTATATTGGCATTTGACTTTGAATTTTTCAGATATTCGTGTATTGTTCCTTTTCTGCTTTAAGTCCTTAGTCACTACATAATGTGATACACCTAAGATTTTTGTTGTTTAGTTTTACATCATACTAACACTGTCAAGGTAATATGACAAATTTTAATCTTTTAATGGTGAGAGAGGATCACAGGCACCTAATTGTTTATTATTTCAGTCACAAGTGGATATCACAGTAGAACCATCAACATTCTGTTAGCTACCTCGATAGCTTCTCCACATGAAAGAATTTCCAATGCCTGAGGTGTGATTTGATGGTGAAGAGCTGAAGATTCAAAGTGAACAATGTTCCACAGAGATGCCACAAAATTTAATGTGCTATCAAGCAAAACTGTAAGTGACCAGATGCACAGGTTTGAACCAACCTCACCAGTCCTCTGAGTCCTTGTACACGTCACAGATAGATAGTTTTTGCATATTAAGTTGAAGAATTTTCACAACTTTATCAAATAAAAACAACTGGGGTTGATAGATACTCTCTTTTATTTCTACATAACCCTGTTTTTTACAGAAAAAACAGGAAAAGACGAATTTAAACATGAAATTTCTACAATATGAGATATAAAAGTCATACATACAAAACAAAAATATCAAAGAGTATTAAAACTCTTGATGTAGCTCCAAGCAAACATGCTGTCCTAGTGAAAAGTTACAGTACGTAAATAAACCACCTTAAGTAACTAAAACTAATTAAAAATGCTTTGAAAACATCTAGAGATTTTACTGATTATAAGAATAGGGATTTCTTAAAAAAATAATTTTGTATTCGTACACAAACTTTATTTTCACAAAGTTTCCTAATTCTAATATTTTTAATTTTTAATATTCATGATTCACTAGGTGATAGGACTGCAGCTTAACTCATGAATTAAATAACTTTTATGTTAATTTTTTTTCATTTTCTATTTGTTCATCTTCATATCAAAAACACATTCATGTTTACAATAGCAGTTATTTCATCTTCTTTTAGATTAAAACAAAATGATTTTTTTTCTTTTTTAAAAAACAAAAAATGGCACAGGTATAAATTAAATGTTAAATGTTAATTAACAGTTGCTCATTTGCTGCCAGGTGTATATATGGTGGTCAGTCAATTTAGAAATTACGGCAGTGCAAGAATTATCAGCTACAGATGAAGATGATGAAAACAAAAAAAAAAAAACGTATAAAAATATAAGCACTAAAATGACAATATCATTTAGAATTCCTGAAAGCAATTTTAATAAACTACAAGTTTAATGTATTTACACATGAGTTAATTCTGTGAGAGCAAATGAACAAGAAAAAAAAACAAGAAATTTCTTTTTCATTAATATAACCTTAACACTCTGCAGTATTAAAACCTCCCAATTAATTTATATGCTGAAATATAAAAAAAGATCTTAAAAAACGTATTATCTTGTAGCAATGAAATTAAAGAATATATAAAAGATCTTAAAAAAACGTATTATCCTATAGCAATGAATTTTTTATTAAAGATTATAACAAAACTGTTCTTACTTATAAAGTCTTGATCCTTAACAAAAATTAGTGACATATATCAAAATAATAGAAAGTGTTGGTAATAAATTGTGTGAATCTTTCTAAATTTATGATTAAAAAAAAAAATAGTCCATACTTATCAATGACTCATATGTAATACACTACGAAAGACCGAAAATGGACATACTATGAGAATTAATTCTTTTTTAAAAAGGGTTACCTTTCAAAATTACTGAAAATATTTTGCTTAAATAATCATCAATGCTAAAACAGTGCATTGGTTCCAGGATTTCATTCCAACCTGTTTGAATGGTAAAATTCCAAGTATCATGGTAATTAGTCGTCACCTGTCTATTTTTGGTTAATTCTTTTACTGGCTGACAGTTCTGACTGGACTTTTCTACATCAATCTACTAAGCTTCTTTCAAATGAAATGAAACCCGAGTGAGTGATCTTAAATGACAATAGGATAGGCTTTCCTGAACTTCACAGAAGTTTTTCCATGTATTGGTGGCATGATTCTACCCACCATTGTTTCAAAATAATTTATTTCAACTCAAAAATCTATCAATTTCATAAGATTTATACTAAAAATCTAGTGGATGTATCCCTTTTTAAATAAAAAAAAATAACAATGGACTATGTATGTTTATGATCATCAACAAGATATTAAAAGAGAGAGGGAGATTAAAGCTATAATATCTGTAACATATAAGGCGCTTCAACATTTGACAATAACAAGTGTGATTCTACAAAGCATTATATCACAGTCTGGGCTTTAACACAAGACACAAATTTGTGTACATGTAAATACAGCAGCACATTTAATAAAATCAACATAATTATAACGTATCACAATAAAAAATAAATGATGTAAAATTAACATCTGTATAAATAAAAAATTCTTCCACAAAATACAAAACAGACGGATATTCTATAAAAGACTGGAATAAAAACCTAAATCTACCTAGTATAGAATAAAATAAATATGAAATTAACAGCAGTGTAGAATAAAAATGTTTCGTTTAAAAAAATCATGGTTTTATATAGAAAATACAATAAAAATATTGGATTTTATTGATCTATTTACATTCATAAAATGTTTAATCATAATGTATATCTTAACTCCATTTTAAACAAAAATCTTTAAAAAATGTCCACAATTCATGTACACATATAAAACTTTATCTTAACATCTTCAAAATAAATATCTTTAACTTTAGCAAAAATTATTTGTAAAATCAGTTTGCTGTGCAATGATCCATAATAAAGAACACTAATTGACCGTTGTGGATTTCAGATTTAGATAAAATTTAAACTCATTATTCTTAAAAATAGCATGATAACAGTTACAATAAATTAACCAATCAGAGAGATGATATCTGATACTGGACATTTAGTCTAAAGAATCTCTAATCAGCAGTTCATCTTGCAGTATCATATTCATTTAATATCTTCATCTTTTTTTTCTTACTTCTAATTCATAAGAAATCATCAATTAAAGCCATTTGCTAAATAATAGCACAAAAACTTTTTCTTTTAATACTTCAGACTTGTATATTTATATAAAATTACTACTTTTGGCTATCATTGTAATACATTCGGGGAGCAGAGTCAAAATACTGGTTTTTATCACAGATAAATCCCGCTCAAAAATAAAAACTCTAATACCTTGTCAATTAATTTTGTTATAATGTTCATTATGACCTTAACCTTTGTAATACTATGTTTAAATTTCCTCATATTTGATAATTAATTTGGTAATTAATTAATCAATAAATTTGCAAACATGATATACAGTCATGAATTTCAAACTTGGCATTCAAAAAGTGCCTCAATTTACCCATGGTGATTACCAGTAAAAAAGTCATGAAAATAGGTCAAAGGTCAAAATAACCTTATACCATTTTGCTCTATAAACCAAAATATTATATCGACAACAACTTTGATGATAATTGCATAATAACAATATGAAACACTATTGAAAAATGATGAAGAATTGATATCGTTTCAACCCTCCAAGATCAAAGCAAATAAATCACCATCATTATCATTGTGAAATAAAATACTATTATTATAACAGCAGTGGATTTTTTGTTAAAGCAGTGTAACATAAAATGAGAAAAAAATATATTAAAATGATACTTAAGTCTCTTCCAACATATATATACATATATTCTCTTTCCAAACAATATACAATCATCTTTTAAACAATGAAGGGGAATAATCATATTAAATTGTGTTCCTACAAAATTTTTCTTGTGTTGATTTCTTCTTATTTATTAAATTTCCATCATTTGGCACTAAATATATCGGCAGGAATACCTCTAAGTCTATAAAATTGAGACTGGGAAACAGTAAAATGATAATGCCTTGCCATTGGCTAGTTTGAAGTTCTATGAACAGAAACAGCCAATCAGAAACCTTAACCTCTCTCTGGTTCCCGACCTCACTTTTATAACTCAAGACAAAGAATGATTTTTGAATTCTTTTAAGATTTAGTCATTCATAATAAAAGCTTTACAATTAATGTAATCAGTTTTGAACCAGTCTTTGAATTACAATTTAAATTATGCAACAGACATTCCAAGTCTTTGCTGGGATTGCATAGGGCTAGGGGCTTGTAGACGTTGTATGCTGGTGTGCACAGGTTCATATGTTTTATGCCCCCTGCTATCTAGCCCAGCAAATCTGTAGGTGGATGCAGGCTGGTCAATAATTGCAGCTGGACAAGGTTGTATTTCCTTCGGTACGTAATCTTGTCTGTACATGGTTCGATCCTCAAAGTGACCACCCTGGACTGCTTGGTATTCTGGACGGAAGGATTTGGTAGCCTGCACTGGGTGAGAGTGATAATGGCTACCGTATGTTGAAGCACCTACAAAAAATCAAATTAGAATTGTTAATAAATGAAACTATTTAATACACTGGTTTAACTGTTATGTAAAAGATAAAGTATTAGATTGTTGATATAAATTGGCATAACATCAAACATCATTTTCCATTTTCCAAAATGATATAAATGCTTGAAATTATGAAGAGGTTAGATTTCCTCAATTTTCTAAAGTAATTTTATAACATTTAGGAAATTATAATCAAAAATATTGTCAAGATTACATCTCTGTCAAAACATGCTACAATACAATCTCAATTTTCAAAAAACAATATTAACAGGTTCAAGCAGTCCTTAACATTTATACAACAGTTTCAATGTCGGTCAGTCAAGTTATGTCACCTGTGTTTAAATTTGTACCCATATTGAAATGATAGAAAGTCTTACATCAGTTTTTAGCTTTAGAAAACACATTAATTATAAGCAAAAGCAGTGCACGTTATTTTCAATTTCAAATAAAGTTGAAAAGCATTTTTTTGTTTCCAGAAAGAGGTCAGATATCGTGATAAAAAGTAAAAAATTTGGACTGATTGTGAATGGTCATGTTGATCTTTGTTAACTTAACCTTTAAATAACTGAATCTACTAATGCAAACAGTGCAGACCAAAATCAGCTGGCACATCAATGCTATCTGATCATGGTCTGCACTGTTCATCATTCATTCAGTATGAATTTTGCATTTTTTTCCTAAAAATGATGAATGGTGTTGTTAAAATTGAAAGATGGACAAGAATATTTCAAATATTTAGTGCAGTAAGGATTAACAAATCCAAATGTATGAAAATCATTGTGTAGTGAACATAGCATACATATTGTTTTATAAGCATAATTATATATATACATATATACATATATATAAAATTTCACATAATAATGTGGTAACAACCTCAGTTAAACATACAGGATCTTTAAGGAACTGTCTAAACGTTTCTTTTCATTTTTCTTGTAATTCGAAAAGTATGCATCTGAAATAACCTACAAAACATACATTTGAGATTCACCTAAAAATACTGCAAGAACGAATGGAAGTTGACATATGTTGAATAACCTTAAAGATAGAGACAACTCATAATACCACAGTAATTAGCACATCACACTTACCTTCAAATCTAGCATTATTTTGTACATATTCTGGCTGCTTGAGTGGTTGTGCTCTCTCCCCTATCTTCTTTGCATAGTCGGTCTTATACATTGTTGAACCATCAAATGGAGCACTTGCTTTTTGCGACTCTACTGGCCTCATTGCTGGAACTTTCGACAGAGGCATTGGTACATATGTTGCATTGTGGGTGGTCTTACCAGCGAACTCGCCTTCTGGTTTAACATACTGTTCCTGAGCATGTACATATGGTCTCTCCATTGGCCATTTCTTGTAACTGTCTCTCTGAGTGGTATGATCATCTAAAGGACTGTTGGACTGGAAAGCCTGTCCTGCCGGTTTAAAACTGTGTGTTGGCTCTCCTGGTTGACCGCGATAGTCTGCTTTAAATGTTGTAGAGCCATCAAACTGGACTCCAGGAGGTTTGTACTGTTCTCTCTCTTTTACGTACCTAGGTGGTATGGCATGTTGCTTGTAGTTTGCACGATGAATAGTATTATCATCAAACGGTGCATCAGACATGTGAGGACCGTTGTCCGGTTTAAAGCTGACACGAGGACCAATCTCTTTCCTGCGGAAATCATCTTGGAATGTTGTTGAACCTTGAAACCTGTCCTTAGGTGGTTCCCATGCAGCAGTCATACCATATGGCTGTTGTCTTCCAGCAGCATCCCATTTTCTATAGTCAGCTAAAAAATGAAATAGATAAGTTACAATGAAGCACATAAGTTAAAATAAATCAATTCAGAAATCGTTCATTAAAAATTATCAACAGTTACCATGTACCTAGGTATTTTATCCAGTTGTCAGACAAGTAATATTTGCATAAGCAACAGAAAAAGTCAGTCATTTTTATTACCTCAAGCTTTAACATTCAAAATTTTTCAGTAGAGATACTGCTAATTTTCAACACTTCTAAACCTAAATCATTCATTTTCTTAACAAGAGCATGAAGATATTAGGAAATATCAAATCCTTTCTCTATAATAACAAGTTTCTTATGACTTAAATGAATATACTTTTGAAATAAGATAAGGACACTGCCCTTTTTTTCTATTGCCATGATTTGACCAGTAATGTAATTTGTACATTAAAATGGACAACAATTAAATTACGATTTGTATTAATTTTTTTTGAGGCAATACCTACAAACTGAAAGGTAGAATGAAAACATTGAGTGATACTGACACCGAGGCCAAGGTGAGTAGGATAGCTCTCCCTATTATATAAAACAAGAATGATTAGTACATTTGTACTTACATTTGTATGTGGGTTCTCCTTCAAATCTTCCAGGGACTAATCTCTGACCATCATTTCTAATTGCCTTAGCAGGAACTCCTCGTTTCTCTGTAAGAAAATAATGAAGATTGAAGTAATTTTATTCAAATGTTTAATGAAAGAATGGCACTGAACTGTTGTTCTTTCAGAAGCTGCCTAATGAACCAATTCATCATTCAAAGGGTTTGCTATTTTTCAAAAGGGAAGCGCTAGTAAGAACTATAAAAATGTGCTTTAAAATATGTTTATTAAAAATACAATTTAATTATTAAAATCATTATTCATTATTATGATGTAAAAAATATATATTTTTTAATGATTTTACATTACAGGAGTTTCATTTAAATAAAAAGTATTTGATTTTTTTTCCCTCTACAAAATAGGTGTGGGGGTGGCGCTTATAAGAAGGGGGTGGGGGCATTAATTGGAAACAATACGGTACTTCCTTGCTTTCTGTAAATGATATAAAAATTTAGAAGGAGGTAATTTGACAGGATTTTTCTTTGACAAACTAATCATTTTGATACAATTTTTATGTAATATAGGCACAGAAAGTGGGAAAAACTGGCAAATTTTCCTGAGGTTATAACAGACACACATGTTTATTATTAAAATTTAAATGACATTAGGATTGAACCCTCAGTGCTTAAAGAACATTTTATATCTAATCACCGGTATTTTATTTCATATAATATCATTACATGCATTGTTTTTCTTCAAAAATATATTTAGTATTTTACCAAAAGCAACATGTGTTTTTCTTTTACCTACATTCCTTATGATTTTATTTATGTTTTTTTTTTTTTTTTTTTTTTTTTTTTTTTTTTGTTTGGGGGGGTAGGGGGGGGGTTGGTTAATGTTAAACCTACATGATTAACACCTCTTCAGGAGAACTTAAGGTTTTACTGACAAAATTTAATAAGCTATGATTCTATGACATAGCTCATGAGATCCATAGAGGAATAATTGACTTTTTAACAAACTTGACTAATTCTAAATTTCTCGAAGAAAACTCAGTCTTAGAAGTAAATACAAAGTTATTTAATATAAGTAAAGAATTTTGATTTTAAATGAAAAAAAACTTAAATGTTAAAATAATTCATGCAAGTGTTAATTAATCAAAAGAAAATTAATGCTTCCCCTGCATAACAACCGTTAAATTTTTCATTTCCCATCAATATTGATTGACAATCTATAGAATTTCAATGCTATAAATCGATTACTTTCCCCTTGTATAATTAAATATGAAATCAAATACACCCGTGAACCTGCAGCCTTAGAAACGGTAAATAGAAACCAATAAATATGTACGCACAATAGTCTATCAATGTAAACAATTTTTTCTCCCGGCTTTCATTTCCATATTGGTTAAACTTAAGAGACTCAATCTTTTATGTAAACTCTGGTCTTTTAATGCAGGCAGGTACAATAAACTAAATTCGTACAAAATCGTCTTCCACTTTATAATCATAGCAATCTATTGTGAGATATGCGATTAAGGTTACAAAATATTGTGTAAAATTAAATAGACGTAGATTTTTGTACCGCTTTATGAGATAAGAAAAAAATATGACACAATAAGTTTGGACAAATCTTTAATTTTATATTTTTGGGGTCTATCTGTCAAACTGACATTTAACAAAGCCCTGTAGATATGAAAATACTTATCTATCTACATTATCATCATTTTGTATTAAAAAAAGTAAAAATGATTTTGCATGAATGCTCTTCTATGTGCATATTTTTTCAATTTATCTAAGTTATGATAAAGTATACAAAAATAATTTTTTTCCAGCAGTAGGGGAACTCTGGCAAATGTTTTTTTGGAGCTAATGTTCTACAACTGGGGAAAAAATATAAAAACATTAAAGCAGTATATCTTTGATAATTATTTAGGTTTCTGATGAACTTGAGTAAAAAAAGCAATATAATTTTGTTCTTTAAGCATTAAGAACTACTGATGTTTCAGTTTGAATTCAATTTATTTCATTAATGTATTTGAAAGGGAGCTTCTGTCAGTCATGTCAGATCATAGTCTGCACTGTTTACTATTCCGTCAGTACATATCTTAAAATTTTACCTAAAAATGATGAATGGTTTAGTCCAGATTAAAAAATAAGACAATCCATTTCAGATATTTAGGGTGGTAAGGATTAAATTCAAACATAATTGACTAAAACATATATTCAATATCAATATTTTCAGGAAAACTTGGCCAATATAACCGTGGCTAATACAACATTGTGAATGTGGTGTTCATTTCAATCTTGACAAGGTTAAAGGCACAAATCTATTGATTTCACATTGTTAAATCGATTCTTTTGAAAGGAATACTGGGCTTTGAAATCTCAGATCATTTTTAATGTAAACCTGAATGCCCTTTTCATATTAAGAAACTCCTAAATGCAAAGACTGAAAGAATACGTGTTTTAATAGTTGAAGAGCTCACAGGATCACTTAACATTTTTTTTTTGCTTGTTATATTGGCAGCACATGGGCTTCTTTTCCTAAATGCCAAAATTGTTCAAAATTAAATCTAGAAATATCTCATATTATGATTTTTCGCAACCAGTTGGTTACTTTGAGGCTTTTGCAAATTATTAAGCATATATAGCTTTCAACAACAACTGCCCTTTAAGAATAGTGTTTTACTCTTTTAGAAATGGTTCCTTGTGAATTAAACTTAGACATTAATTATATTATTTAGGAACACCAAGTGAAAACAAAACATTGGCAAACAGAGGAACATGACATCATTTAAAGGCAAAAACAAGTATGAATTGGAATGTTACTAGAACTATTTAAAGAAAAATGAAGAAATCTTAAAAATTTATGAAATCTTAAGGTTGCCGTAAGTCCTGTTTATAGGGATTTGACCTGACATGATGTATGCAAAGATTTAAAATCTTACAAAAAATTTGATATTATCATGTATTTAATCTTTGCATTACATAAAACTGATATAAGATAGCATTTTAAAGAGGAATCAAAGTAAGATTTAACACTTATAAAAAGTATCTGGTTGGTAATGTTACATTATGAAACACAAGGATTATAGGAATTTTGGTAATACATTTATAGTATGAAATATATGCTTAAAACTAGTTTAAGTTTTTCATTTAATACATTACCTAGAAGGCTTAGCATCAAATATTATTTAGTAAATCAAGACCCACTAGAATGCAGCCCTGTTAACCTACCACCTGTTCTGATAAATGCTAGGTTTCAGCATAACTCTAACCCCTTATCCCAATGTATATCTTACATGGACAAGTCTAGCTTTCAGTTCATTACATGTCCATTACTGGTATCATGATTCAAGATATCAAGATCATATAAATCAGCAAGCAGTATAAAATACAAAAAACAAGATCAACAAGGAAGGGAAGCATTCAATGAACTCATCCCCCAAAACCGGACAACCAATAAGGATTCTAGCAGTACACCAAACAGGACAGGGCACACCGACAAAAAATGGATGGCACGTCATTATAAAACATTATAAACACTTGAAAGACAGACAGCATGTATTAATGTTCAATGACTCTTTACAGATTACCACCACTGTCTTCCAAAGATTAAACTAACTGATATACAGGACTGGTTTCAGCATGAAAAGAAGTGAAATATTCTCTGTATAAACTTAATAAAACTTCAATGACCAAAACATGCGACTATTTACCAGGCTGTTGTTCCATTTTTTTCCACTAAATTAGGCCTACCTTAAGACTATCAGACAAATTTCATTTACAGTAAATTAATTCACCCCATTGAAAGAAACAACCACAATTTAATTACACAGTATTTTGAAAGATTGGAAAAACTGCTTCCTTTTTGAATTATTATAGAAGTTTTTCTTGAAGAGCATTAATTCTGTATACTACAGAATGCTAAGCGTTAAATCTGAATTGGCTTAATTTTATTAAGCTATGCTTTAAAAATTGACAATTTTTGACACAAGTTGTGACAATAATTTTTCCATAATTTATTGGCCTATATAATCATCATTTAGATTCAAGAATATTTAACTAAGTCATCATAAAAGATTTTTTCTCTCTCATACTTACCAACAAATTCTGTATTGTAGGAAGTCCTGTCTGCAAATTCTCCCTGTGGCTTCACATACTGTTCATGCTGATGTTGAAATGGTCGCTCCAATGGATGGGGGTGGTAATCAACTCTGTAATTAGTTAAAGCCATATCATTCCACCCATTTTCAATTGGTGGCAGCGGATCATATTTGTTAAAACTCATAATGCTTTTTTCCTTCTTTAAAACAAAACCTTTATATTCAAATTCCAGTAATTTCTGATATTTCCGTGTGCAGTATTTCTAGCAAAATCTTGGACACTTAACTTTAAATCCAATATACAATACAAATTCTCTATCCTCAAATTTCCAAGAAACAACCTCAAATTTCCAAGAAACAATCTATTTATAACTAAATTGAGATATTAAAACAGTGCATTTTCTCCAAAAAAAAATTCGAATTTCACCACTGTATTTTCCCAATTTTTATGTCTGAATAAAACAAATCAAAACTAAAACATTTACACCCGGACTTATTCGAGCTGGTATCTAAGCAAACACAATAAACATCCCCTTGAAGACACTTTAAACCTATATATATCACAAAAACTTTGCAATAAATTTTTAATAGTAAAGTGTGTCAGTTGTAAAATATCTTATCAATCACAACTGATATAGCTGACTCTATCACTGCACGTTACAAATCAGAGACTTTAATGAAAAGGTATATACAAATTTTTATTGCGGCTTTTCATACATGTCATTGTTACAAAAGGACAAATTCTGAAAAGCCCACTAATCCTATTACTATCAAAAGGCAAAAAAAAAAAAATCAATCAAATCAATAAATAGGTAATCTTCTTAATCTATAATTAATACCATAAAATAGGCAATATTGGGTCAATTTGTTTTGGTTAAATATACTCTATTTTCTTGTCATTCTTTCACTTTTGATTAAATATAAGAGGACGATGACTGTTTCCCAGTGATCCATTGCTTAGAAAGGTCATGTAATTCTTCAATGCAGAAGTAATTAAGTCATTTAGTCACATTGGAGCTAGACAATCGGTCCATTTTTTACCCATGGACCATGTATTATATAATTTTTGTATATACCAAGTACCTAAGCTCTAGGCCAAGACCTATGTAAAATACGTGACCCCCAGGATTAGCCAATTTTGACCCTTGGACAATAATTCATTTAACTTTTGTACAGGGCAACAAGGTTTATTACGCTACATACAAGTTTCTTAGCTCTGAGCACTGTAGTTTCTGACAAGAAGATATTTAAATGTCTTTTTCCTAGGCAATGATGACTCATTTTACCCAAATGGCATAACATGTAAATTTTGTTGAAATCCGCATGGTTGTGTTTTTTCCAAAATATCTTATGTTCTAGAACATGACTATTGTAGTTTCTGTGAAAAAGATTTAAATCCATTTATTATATAAAATAGAGAAAAACAGAATCCCTAAAGAAAGCCCAACACGGCAAAATTGTAAAATGTTGCAGGCTCGGTTTGATTGAGCCTGTTCATGGACGGTACTGGAAAGTGCAAGTTACCGTCCACGCCCCCTAGCACCGGCTTAAGCAGAATTCAACATTTAAACACAAAAATGGTGAAATTTTGAATTTAGAAACATCCGCAGATGTGTTGATACGGCGGTTAGCATGGAACCTTTAATGTGACACAGTAGCGTCATTCCATGAAAAGCGGCGTATGGTCCCCAAGTAAAAGAATGTGTGTGCCCTAAACAAGAAAACAATGGGCGGAACTAAATACAAGAGCGATCAGTGATCACATGTGCCGCCTCATGATGGCCAATTTCATGTTGGGACAAGTTTTGTGACAGACGGAGAAGTGATCGGAGTAGTGGCGACATAAATTCCTGTAAAGTTAGGATGAAATTGCCCCAGTAGTTTAAGAGGAGTAGTGGGGACAAGTTTTGTGACAGACGGACAGACAGACAAACAGTGCACAACTTGACTCGGTACTGATCATTCCTGTAAAGTTTGGATAAAATTGCACGAGTAGTTTATGAGGAGTAGTCCGGACAAGCTTTTGTGTATCTGGCAACACACAGAAAAAAACACCTTTTTATCAAAGGGCCATAACTCGGCCAAAAATCATTCAACCGGAAAACCCGTGCAATATGCGCAAGGACTTGAGCTACAGATCAATCCTGTAAAGTTTCATTGAAATTGCATAAGTGGTATAAGAGAAGTAGTCCGGACAAACTTTAAAAATAAAAATTATTAAAGGGCCATAACTCTTACAAAAATCATTGAACCGGAAAATCCTGACAATATGCACAACTAGACTTGGTACTGATCATTCATGTAAAGTTTGGATGAAAGACAAGTTTTGTGATGGACGGACAGACAGACGGACGACGGAGAAGTGATCCCTATATGTCGCCACTACTCTGTAGAGGCGACACAAAAATGGAATTCTGAAAGGGGATCTGAGGTTAAATGTCTACCTAAACTAAACAATCCATGTAAGTATGCATGTATGTATGTATTCTAGGCTTAACAGCAGAAGGTCAATCTGCCCTTTCAGTCACTGAGAGTACAAACAGTCTAAATTATTCAGTAATAGCCACCATTATTCTGTAACAGTCGCCATTATTCTGTAACAGTCACAATTATTCTGTTACAGTCACAAATTCTGTAACAGTCGCCATTATTCTGTAACAGTCACAATTATTCTGTTACAGTCACAAATTCTGTAACAGTCAAAATTATTCTGTAACAGTCACAATTATTCTGCAACAGTCATAATTTTCTTGCAACAGTGACACAAATTCTATGACAGTCACAATTATTATGTGACAGTCAAAATCATTCTATAACAATACATAAATCAGTTCCAGTACTGCAAACTGGTATCATAATTGAGTCATCAGAGGATCAGAAAATACAAGTTATGCTATTTCTTACCAACTGAATGACCTTCAATTAAGAATAAACAAATGTAATCAAAAGATGATGTAGTCACCAACAAAATTTTGAAGTAATTTCTCCAAAACATGGTTAATTATACAGTCCTTGTCAGCAGTTATAATTGCTGCAACCCTTTTACCTTGACTTAATTCTATACTTCAAAGTCACAAAAAAGATGGTTTATTTAGGGATCATGTAAAATTTTACTACTAAGGTACCATATATCACACATGCAAAACTACCAGTTTAAAAATCAACAAATAAAAGATAATAAACATTAGTTAAATAATGTTATAGTATAAAACTTATAATAAATATACAGGTAGGTTGCTATGATCTCCAGTCCTAAAAGGAACAAGAGCCATGTCAACATGGCCATCCCTCGCCGAATGTGTTTGTTCATTGGAAGAATATATATGTAGTAGAGCAGAATAATTCAATTTTAAGAGGTCTTTTGGTAATGAAAACTGATGGCTGAAGTGATTACAGATTTGAAACCTAGCTATGTGAATACTGATAGCTGAAAATAACAAAGGCAATAACTGAAAAATAATGCAGGGTAAGTCATCATTCTTGTGTGCTGCACTCCTCCTCAATGAGACCTATCCACCTATGAAGTTTCAGGTTGATATCTCAAAGGCTTTTATAGTAATGCTCTGGACAAAAATTAAGCATGTAAATAACAAAGGGCAATAACTGAAAAATAATGCTGGGTGGAGTTATCATTCTTGTGTGCTGCACTCCTCCTCAATGAGATCTATCCACCTATGAAGTTTTAAGTTGATACCTCTAACACTTTTTGAGATAAGCTCCGGACAAAAAGTATGAAAAATAACAAAGGGCAATAACTCAAAAATTATAATGGGAAGAGTTATCGTTCTTGTGCACAGCATTCCTCCTCAATAAGATCTATCCACCTATGAAGTTTCATGTTGACATCTCAAAGACTCTGAGTTATGCTCCACTCAGGTGAAAAATTAAGTATGAAAAATAACAAAGGGCAATAACTCAAAAATTATGAAAGGTAGAGTTATCATTATTGTGCACTGCACACCTCCTGAGTGAGATCTATTCACCTATGAAGTTTCATGTTGATATCTCATAAGCATTTTGAGTTATGCTCTGGACAAAAATTAAGTTTGAAAAATAACAAAGGGCAATAACTGAAAAATTATGCTGGGTAGAGTTATCATTCTTATGCACTGCACTCCTCCTCAATATGATCTATCCACCTATGAAGTTTCAAGTTGATAACTCAAACACTTTTTAAGATATGCTCCGGACAAAAAGTATGAAAAATAACAAAGGGCATTAACTCAAAAATTATAATGGGAAGAGTTATCGTTCTTGTGCTCACCATTCCTCCTCAATATGATCTATCCGCCTATGAAGTTTCAAGTTGATACCTCAAATACTTTTTTAGATATGCTCCGGACAAAAATGTCGGACGGAAGGACGGACGGACAGACGGAGACTATTACTATATCCCCCGCCGCCTTTCGGCGAGGGATAATAATTTATTATATACCCTATCTAAACTCAGCTGATTTGTTTGTAGTATATGAAGTATTCAATCAATTATTACATGGCAGAATTGGTCAGTTTTTCGTTTAAAATTTTATTAAAAACTTAAGTATTTTTTTTTAATTTTTAAAGTATTTTTCTTTCACTTTTTTGGAAGTTTTTCCTTTGAAAATTTTTTTCCTTTAATTTTAATTAAAAATTTTAGTATTTGTTTCATTTTATTACATTTTAAAAATTCAGATCAATGAAAACATTGAGTATTTGGGAAAAGTTTTTCACACTTCAGTTTTTAAATGTAAATTTTTAAAACTTTTTTTTAAAGGGTCAATTTTTAACCCCTTGAAGTATTTGGGTAAATTGAAAGAAACCTTCCTTTAGTATTGGGCCCCTTTAAATTACATTTTTAGTGTTTTTTTCTTTAAAAACACTTTTAGGGGTTAGGTCCATTTTTTTACATTTTTTTACTGAAATTATCAGTTTTTAAACATTTAAAAAGTTTTAGGAAAATTTATTAAAATTTAGAAAAAAGGGTCAAATATTACTTTTAGTAATTAAAGGTCATAATTATACAGAAATATCTGGTCAATTATTAATATTATGCTTTAGTATTTTATATGGTTATTTTTATATTACACTTATGTATTAGGTCAATTGTTTCATTGAAGAATTTGCTCAATACTTGCATACTATTGCACCAGGTCATTTATTACACTTCAAAATAAAGTCAGTTGTAACACCTTAAGTATTTGGTCAATAATTACACTGAAGTATAGGGTCACCAAGTCTTGTTACACTTTAGTATTAGGTCAGTTGTTACACTAGAGTAAAAGGTCAAATGCAACACTAATGACAAAGACATATGTAATTTAGACAATTTAAAATCAGGTCAAGCCTTCTCTTATAATGTAACCTAAATTGTTACTGTATAGTAAAAGGGCAACATTGTAACATTTATATAAGAAGAACTGTTACCATTTTAAATCGGACTACCTGTCCTTTGCTTAATATGTCTTTACATGAACTGTAACATCTATTATATACTCAGTTTAATTTGCATTTGCAGTGTGACATCTGCATCATGTCAGTTTCAGTGAGTTTGTCCTGGGACTAGTGTCACATTTGCATCATGTCAATATGTTCTATATCAAGTATCACATCTGCATCATGTCAAAATGCCAATATGTCTTAAGTTTAGTATCACATCTGCATCATGTCAATATGTTCTATATCAAGTATCACATCTGCATCATGTCAAAATGCCAATATATCTTAGAGTCACATATGCATCGTGTCAATATGTCTTAAGTCCAGTATCACATCTGCATCATGTCATATATACTGCATCATGTTTAATTGTATTGAGTCCAGTGTTAAACATAAATATATTAATCTGTTAATTTTCTTTTTAGAACAAAGGAATAAATTCTTTTTTTTCAGTTTAAGTTTCAAATTTAACATTATGGGGAATAATGTCAATTTGGTCTGTTGGAATGTACAAGTTTATTCATAAACATTTTATAAGGTAAATAATGTCATTAAATGTCAGGATCATTTTTTTCAATCATATTTTATTATAGATAGATTTTCGTGTAATATTAATATCTATTTGCATAATGAGAATCTAATGTTACATTTCTTTTGTGTAACATAATCTGATCCCAATGTGACAGTATCAACTTTTATATTTGTAACCCCATAAAATTGTGGCAATTGTTTCCAATGTCAGTTGCTAAAGTATATAATTATGTCAACTGTTTATTTGTCCAAAAATGGAATTTGCCTAAAATATGTATAAATGTAGATTGGCAAAGGTATGTGTACCAAAAGTCAAATGTTACATTAGTAATAATACCATTATTTATCCATCTGTGTAGTTTGATCACTGAATTCTCCACCCTGCATTGGACGAGCATCTGGTTTGAAAGTTTCCCTTGGTCCCAGTGGGTGGGGTTTGTACACCTGAGTATATTCTGTAACTTTACAAGGGCCTTCACCACGCCCTAGATGATTGGTGGGATGGTGAGGACATCTGTGTCTCCTTAAAACATACAAAAAGATGACAATTAATAATCTATCAATCAATCAATCAATCAATTAATTAATTAATAATTGATTGATTGATTAATTAATTAATTAATTAATGACATTACACCATTCCTCTAGACATTTGATATATGAAACAGTAAGTTCATGTTGAATATAATCCTCTACTCATTTTGCAAAAAGATAACAACAAAACAAAAAGGAGATCATAAAGCCTAAAATCTTCTGTAAGTTTCGCTTCAAGTACATTTATACATATTTATTCACAGACATTTCATCATGGAGATTCTAACTTAAATTGGTACTGATATGGCTACCCTGTTGTTTTCACTTTTGTTCCTATATAGCCATACAAGAGAATGACTGCACCAAAAACTACAAGAGTATTTACTTTTACCAGTTGTTGCCATAACCAAATATCCATTAGTTAGCATCTGTACTCAACTTTTATCCCCCCTTTAACACATCTGCTAAAATTAATCATGCTGCAATTGTTTTGCAATGAGAAAAAAAATAATTGCGGAATAAAATGTTACTGCTTAGATAGGTATCATGATTTAAAAAAAACAGTTAATCTGTCAGCTTAAATTTAGCATCTTCCACAGCAATGCTTTCTTCGTACATGTTTTGTAATAGTGCTACTTCACAAAATATCACACCATTGGCAAATAGAAAAATGTTTTGGCAAAGAAATAAACAAGTAAAAAGTTTTTAATAACTGTATAAATTTTCAATGGGAAGGAGTGGTAACATTATAAAGCTCCTTGTATATTTATACAAGAAAGGTGGAGCTTAAGATTTCTTTTTATGTTATCTCGTCAGAGAAATTTTCAAATAATAATTCATATTGAATAAATTTGCATAGTTAAACGAGACCAAAATAAGCCATATAGACAGTAATAAGTGTTGTAAATTTATTGATTTAAAGGAATTGTCATATAAATGTTTGAAGTTCAAACTTCAGAATGATCAATCACCTTATTTATATTGGCCACTTAAGGCAAAGAATCTCGGGAAGAAAAAATTATCTCAAATTTTGGTTTTTAACCCTAAATAGGGCAAAATTGTAAGTGAGGGAAAGCAATTGTGGTAGAAGTAATTTTATGGGATGTGGGGCCTAATGGAATCTTTATCACATCATAATTGTGCTAGAAATTTATAAAATGATTTTTTTTTACAAAATTCAAACATCTGATGTTTATCTTTTAAGAATTTCAAGATATTGACTTTTTTCCCATAAATTATTAATCTTTTCGCTGAAAATGTCATTTTGAAGTGAGCATCAGATTTCGAGTTCGTTTGAAGATGTTAGTAGATAAAGAGGCATCTCTGGAGGATAATAGAACTCTTAGTAGACAAATCTATAACAAAGAAAATGAAAAAAAAAACAATTAAAATAATCTTAGAACATGTACCAAGTTTAAATTTTTTCAAAATCTTGTAATGGACCATTCCTTCTTCATAACAAAACCAGTTCCCTATACTTGTAATTTAAGCAATTTAGGAGTAACACAGCTATAATGTTTTCTCAATGCTGAACCATGTCAAAACTAAATTACAGTTGATTATTAATATAATACATACATTGTTTTTACAACTTTTTGTTTTTTTAAATAAAAAATATTTGTTTGTTTCTTTAAAGTAACTTCAAAAATGTGTTTAAATTTTTTAATTTATTTCTCAAGTTAATTTTCCCTTTTCAAGGGGAAAAGGGAAGTACTTTTGACTATTCATCTTTAAACTTACCCCTTCCCCAATTTGGGGCAGTAAATGTTAAAAAATGCATACAAAAATCCCACTCAATTTGGGGAAAAAATCCCCTATTTTACATAAAAACAAACAACATTGACTGGGCAGGGTTTTGGGGGGGAAACCAAAAAAGGCTCACAAAGAAGGGGTTTTTTTTCCCCTGGGTCAGTGTTAAACTGACCGATGAAATTTTTTCGTTCTCAATTATATTTTTGACAATTTGTAATAAAGAAATTTGTAATTGGTGCATTCAAATTATGAATGTATGACATACCTATTCTAAAGTTATGATAATGATGAGAAAATTGATATATTTGACATTATTGTAAACACGGAAAATCCTTAGCTACTGACTGGGTTTTGAACCAGAGAAACTTTGAATACTAGGCGGGCAATTTATTATTCAATCACCACTTGTCTTAAGGGTTAACCAAATGGCAAGAAAGTGGCCTATACCTGTAATCACTAACTGTGACTAACGAAATTAAAGCATCATTCAGGGGTAGCACTAGCATATCTATGAGCCAATTTTTATCACAGTGAACATTGTGTGCCAATATTTGATTTTTAAATTATGCAATATTATTGCAAGATATTAACCAGAATTCAATTGTCAGACTCATTCATTAGATTTCTTAGCATTTCATATACATGTTAATTGTTCGTTCTTTTATTTTAAACTGTTAAATAAATTAAAATTATAGTTTCAATGAACCAAGATCATTCTTCCTTAAACTTTGATTTCCTAGTGCTGTTTTACTTTGGCACCAATTATATACATGTCATATCATGTAATTTAAAACGACACTTTTACCTACAGAAATTGGCAATAAATTAACTTGATCTGCATTGATATTGTTAGAAAGATATTCTTTTTTTAGCATCATATGACTACTCCTATATCAAATATTTCATTTCTATTACACACATGATAAGTTAATAAAAAAAATCATTCTTATTTTGATAATAACATGAAATGAAACTTAAGCAGTAAATAAAATAACAAAAAAATCTTACCCGCAAGTGCATATTTCACAAACACAAGGCTTTTTCATCGTTCAAACTCTTATTATTTCGGAAAGATTTTCAATTGGATTGTTTATTTTATCCTGAGGCCTAAATCAGATAAACAGGTCCTGATTAAATCAAAAGTTTTGAAGGAGAAAACATGCGTTGTCAAGCACTTGGTTGAGATGTTTATCCAAGATGGAGGTGTATTACCGGAAGTAATTGGTGGTAGGGGTCAGCAATGGTACGGTCCAAAATGTGATGGATACTAATTTGCTTCTCTTATAAATATAACAAAAAAGTTATTTTCTAACAACTCATGAATAATGTATGTTTTGAAATACCTTTGTACAAGTATGTATTTGAAAAAATATGAAATTAATAGTCAATATGGAAACCCATTACAAAAATGTGTTCTTCCAGATTTTAGCAGGTGCTTTCAGGGGAGGCAACTTCAATATAAAAAAGACTATTGCCAATTAGCGGTTATTTTACGGACAGTGTTATTTCCCTTCATGCGCGCACGTGATTTTTGTTGCAATAAATTAAGGTAAAGGTAATTAATTAAACACATTTACAGGATTAATATAATAGGAACTTAAATTACAATAAATGTATATTGTATATAAATCGTATGTTGTGGGTTTCAAAAAGCATATTTATTTACAGCAGTATTTAGAGTATTTAGATCTATTTATTTGGGGTTTCTTTATGTTTAGTAAAATTATGGTTTACATTTTTTTTTGCGAAAAATATTGAATAAAGAAATATAATTAAATTTATATGTACTTTTTAATAAGTGTTAAGTGAGTGAAAAGATGGTAGTTTTTCTACTTAAAATACATATATTGAATTTATATTTTCCAAATCGGGATGGTAAACCTAAATTAGATAATTAATTATTATATGAATATATAACGATGCCCCAATTGAAAGGTGAAACATATGACCGGTTTTTAACCAACCCTCTTTCTGTTTTATTTGGGACCAAAAATATTATATTATATATTTTTGGTTCCAGGTTATATCCAATCTGACAGATACCGAATTCAATTTAACTCATTTTTTTCAGATATGTTTTTCTTTGGCTTTGTACTGAGATACCTTTGTTCCGTGTCAGAATCTCGTAACAAAGGACACACAAATATCTCAATCTGATTAAAATCAGTCCCTATAATTAACACTATGCATAAGCATGTGAGAAATAACTTAGGCAGATCTGAACTTTACTCAGATTAACAAGTACAATATCTCAACGTGTAATATCAACATATGCACAATAAGTTGGACTAATATTATAAGGTTCGTTCGTGAAAAAGTACATTTTTTTTAAAGACTGCATCAAAGGCATAAAATCACTTTTCGGTTGGCTTTAATAGCTCATTGCCTACGTGAACATTACCATGTTGTGTGCTATTTTTTTCTTTTATTATTATTATTTTTTTTTTTTTATGATTATTATTTTTGCTTCGGGTCCACAAATACATTTATCAAAAAAAAGCAAAACATACATATACGCACGCACGCAACACATACACACACACACACACACACATGGATAATATACGTTAAACGATTTTGGAAATTGAAGAAACTATATCAAATAGTTAAAATAGATAAAATACTCTTACTTTAAACGTACACTACCACTACAGTATTTATTTTTAGTGTCGTGATACCTTACCTTAGCAGTTATTATAATTGATCTGGTTCACCGACAATGAATGAAAGAAACAAACTGAGTTACAAGTAATTTTTCCCTTCACAAATTAGGTAAATATAACGTTTTCTTATACATAACTACTTATTTACCTGTTAGCAATAGTTTTCTAGCGGGCAATGCATTGTCTTAAATGGTTGAATACAGACAAGAAAGTTTATTACTAGAATAGTATTTGGATATAAATCTTTTTCGGATAATTCAGGGTCTTCCAAAGGAAACGCTCTGTAAATCCTTATTGCTATTATTCAACATGTCTCAGTATAACTCGGTGTAGTTTGCTATATGTAAATTATGTAAGTGTTCAGGGTAAGGACAGAAATTAAATACAGGATTAAAAATGAAAATTCTTACATGATGCTCTTTTAAAAAATCTTTAAACTTCTGAAAAAAAAACATATATATATTTCTTAAAATAATGTTTTTAAAACCATGATCTGTTGGATGTTATGTCTTCTACTAATCAACTCTAATTCATGATTATAAAGTTTATTCAACTGATCTGAATACATATAAGACAAAGATGACGTCGTCTCCCAGTGATGTCGTCGACGTCAAGTAAAGCTATAATTTAACTAGTAAAGCTAGCATTAATTTGTCAATATCACATGAAAAAACATAGATTGCTTGCTGACAAATGCACCTAATTAAACACCAAATATTTGTAAATAACATCATGAAATATTATAAAATCAATACATGATATAATAAAATTAATAAATAACAATTTTTCTTAGAAAAATCAATTTCTATTTTGTCAATGAACTAATATTTACGGCGAAGTTTTCACCTGACTTCGTCCTGAACGCAGTCCCTGTGACTATTGTCTATTTTCAGAGCTTCCTATACGTTGTATTTACATAGATTTACATTGACACCAGAAATCCAAATTTTCTATAAAATTCTTACTTTTTAAAGTAAAAACTGATAATCATAATGTAATGTAGCCAGGATTAGTTTTCAGTAAATTTTGATTGCTTTAACAAAACATTATCATATAATTCGATTTTTGAACAGTGATTGACGGTGATGTACTATGTCAATTCACGATCGGTTGATAACCTAATCAGGTGACTCAGCCGATACAACTTTTTTCATAAAATTGGCCCCACCCTGAAAAATTTAAACTAACAGTCTAACAGTGCATAGAAAAACAGAAAAATACTTGTCACTGCCGATAAAATTTGTATATTTCCAATAAAGCACAGAAGCAATTTATATTCAAGTGTTTTGGGGCTTTTATATGAACTCTTTATGTGTTAACAATCTTCTAGCCTATTTATAACAGCAATTGCTCATAACTCTGTCTAATATCCAGGCTCTTGTTCTCAGCTCAGGTAGTGAGAATTGCCTAGCAGCTGCAGTTTACCTATTTGTATCCTGTTTAAAATTTTGCTGTTATTGGCAATTCTTATTTTATTGCAATAGGGTATGTAAGTCTCGTCATGTGACTTGCGAGATTTCACGATATTTTGCACTTCCGGGTACAAACAAACATCAACAACATTGCTTATCTATAATGGGTAATATATTCTTGTATGCCGATGGGAAAGTAAAACTTACATGGAAAAGCAAATGATATGTGGAAATTGGCAGAGTTTTTTGTTTTGTAACGAAATGCAAATGGTTTCATCTTGTGAACAAGTATCAATGAAAGACAACTTCGTATAATCTTCAGGTAGGTGTGTCATTTCAAATTCAGTTTATCCCAATAAATGTTGTAATATTTTCATTTCCATGTAAATCTAATAAATTTGTTTTTTGATACAACATCATTCGCATCTGACACCAGACTGGTGAATTTGATTTTATCAATTTTCTATAGCGCTACCTGATTATCTCTCAGAAGTATATAATGTTTAGAAATTTCGGACGGCGCATATTTCGGATAAACGTTTCAATATGATTATCAGTGAGTTTTAGTTGAATATATTTTCTTCCAACTGAAAATATTATTTATTTATAATTATTATCTTTATAAAGCACAAACAGTCAATCTGTATATAACCAATTTAACCTTTTACCCCATGAGCATATTGCGAAAAATGGCCAATTTCACTGAAAAGCCTCCTGTAACAAGTTCAAACTGCTATGAAAGTATGAAAAATGCTTCAATACTAATGAAACTTGGCAAAAATGTTGACTACACCATAGCCTCTGTAACAGCATGCTCAATGGTAAGTTTTCTGTTACCATGGCAACGGGGGGACGTCTCAAAATTGCCCAAAATCACTATTTTGCATTGTTTTTTTCCATCAAAACTGAGTTCAAAGTGCTGCAACTTCTCAATGAATTGAGATAGAGTAAAAGGCTTTTCAGCGTCGGTTACTAGCTACCCTAAGATCGACCTGAGGCCATTTTTAGCCTGTCACATGTCCAAAATTTTCTTGGAGATGAGGGGGACTCCGCCCCCCTTCAAACCCCCCAAACAGAAGGGGGCACATCCCCCTTCTGGCAACCCCCTGATGTAATATTTGGATGGGGGACGGCGCCGAAAAAGTGGTCACTTTTTTGAACAACATTTCTCAAACGAAAAACAGTGTTTGGGGCCTAAATAGGGCATTTTTTCACTGTTTGAGGCCTCAAAAAGGGGGGGGGGGCAAAAAGCCGTCGAAACACGCTTATATAAGGGAAAAGGTTAAATTGTCATAAAATTCAATGAAATATTTTGCTCCTGTATTTAGACTGAGGACAGTGGTGAGATGAAAGACGTGAACTGGTATCCGATGTAAATACATGCTCTGCTGTAAAATCGTTTTGGTAAGAAATATATACTTAAAGCTACTTAAACTACATTAATGAAAAATAAATATTATTGTATTACATATAATGTTCTCGTTTTTGTAAATAATTACAGTGTAGCTAAATAAACAAACAGTATGGCATATGTAGTTAATTCATGTTAAATACTGTTTAAAGTATTTTTCTCAAGTGAGTGGGTCATATATTTTAGTTAAACTAGGACACCAAGAAGTGTTTCTTCCTTTTCAACATTATTTTCTATTCATGACAATATGAAAATGCTTGAAATTTATAGCTGACCAATTATTATTGCTTTCAACTCATGATAAATTTTCTTTATATACAGGTATGTGATTTCTTGGTTGGATCTTGAGTACTTGTCATGGCTCTTGATTTATTTTGGAGTGTTCACCATCAGATTAGAAGTCAAATAGGGATACCACCAGGCATAGTTGAAAGGAAATGTCCATACACAGTCTTGGAGTACATAGTGGTAGAGACATGGCAGTCCATTACAGATTTTGACTGAATTAAAGCTTCTTAAAGCTCCATGTCTTGTGTAAACTGTCTGACTGAATGTTTGTATTCTAATAAAAGCTAAGGTTGAAGACACTTCAAAGATATATGTCAGTGTAAAAATGTTAAACAAAATATCTGTCTTTGTTAGAAATAAATAACCTGTCTTTATTAGAAATAATTAACCTGTCATTTGTAACTTTGTATTAACTTAATTATTCAAAGATAATTTATCTTCTGCAAATGGCTGCCCAAAACAGTTTCAACCAGGCATCATGTAGTTTCAAAACAGTTAAGATAAATTTGTTATAAATAGACTTGTAAAGTAACAGGAATGGTAAAAAGATAAATGTTCAGCATAAAAATGTTTCTATCTTGATTGAGTTTCATTTCATATTATCACCATGATCACTGCAATTGTAAAAGTAATGTAATCTTTAACCATTATTCAAATATCATAAAAATCATCTCAAAGAAAAACTTGTTTCTGAGGCAAGATGTGTAAAATTCTTTCCAGTTATAGCCTTTCACTGCTCTTAGAAAAGCCATGATTTGCATTGTACATGGCAGGTAGTAATACCAGAGTAAACAATATTAATGCAATTCATCTGTGTTGAGTATTCTGTAGCAAAACACTAGCTTGCTAGCCCTTGTAAGCCCAAGTCTCTCTCTTAATTGGAGAAGACTTGCAATTCTGCATTCCTTGAAGATTTTAGTATCAGAGGGGTAGTTATTACTTACCATATACTTCTTTGGGTTTCAAATTACCTGTTTTATAATGTATTGAACCTGTTGACATTTGACCAAAAGTGAATTATCTATACAATACATGAACAACTTAGGGTTTGCACTTCATACAAAACTATTACATCACTGATACATTAATATACCCATTGGAACTGTTTCAAAATTGTCAATGTTTCAAAAAACAAACAAAAAAAACACCACACAATGCTTTTAACTTCTGTCCATGTACATATGTGTAAATGTAGTCATTGAAGAGCTGTCAAGAACTTTTCATCAATATTATTTAGATAGTGTCTGTTTCGATTTCAGGACAGACAAAATTCAAATGGCATGCATAGTATTTAATATAGTCAATGCTTGCATATTCAAGCAATCTAGCCATTGCTGTTAGAGAATTAAAGTACACAGTGACACTTATTTTGCAGATGAACTCTTATGATCAAGCACTGCTATAAATATATGCCAAATAGTAGAAACAAAAAACAGTTCATAAGTTTAATAAACTTTTATTTTTACACAATTTATAGTGCACTGCTTAGCATATATATCACACTGATTTTCCAGTGGAAGAAAAACTTCAGGAAAGCACTTGGATTTATTATTAGTTATTTGGACAATGTAACTTTACACTGTGAATGTCTACTGATACAAGAATAAGAATATTTCCTTTTACAAATGTAAAGACTTTGAAAATTAACATGAACAAATTATCATAGAGTTATAAATCATATTCTAATTGAAAAATGTTCAGCTTGATATCAAAGCTTTGAATGCAAATTTGTGAGCTTATCAATGATTACCTCACAATATTAGTAGTAGATGATATATAATATTTTTGCTAATCTTTACTTCATAGTCATTTAATGTCCATAATGTCATATGACTATACTGTGATTCCATGAAAAACCTTATCTCTGGTGTGTTATCAGCTTTGGTATATATAGAGTATCTAGTTTTAATACTTAAAACTGCAATGAAATGTGGATATTTTACTCTGTTTCTATCATTGTGACATTAACATGTTCATAGTGTCAAACACCATAAAATCATACTCTTTATACATTAAGATTTTTGTGCTGGATGTCATTCATCTTCTTCAGGAAAGTACATTTGACTATTCTCAGTGGCTTATATTAAACTAATATTTCACTGTAACTGTGTGTTCTCTGATATCATTCTCAAATTAAGGAACTGGAAGATGGTAGTTGCAATAAAGGTCTTCATGGACAAATCCTCCTTCATCTTTTCCCTTTTTATCTGCAGAATGAAAAATCAATAAATATGTTGTTACAAGTGTAAGACAATAGAAATGATATTTACATTACATTTAATAAGCTGGTCATGATTGACAGAAAAATTTCATATTTGAAGTAAATAAACATTAAAGATAAACAACAACACATAATATATAACAGTCAAAAATATTGATCTTCTTGAATTTGAAACATGACTATTTTTAATGTTTTATTTACTTATCAATTATCATGCAGTGAAATCCAAGTTATTAATATATTTGGATAATTGTTTATCTTTCCAATCTGAACTAAAAATTAATCAATTATTTTACATGTATTTACCTTTGATGTATAGATATTTCAGGATCATAGGCAGTGCAAACAGTTGATTAATAGTCCATATTGAACAACTGTATATTCTATACTTGTCATATACCTCCTTGTCTATACATCTGAAATGGTTTAATCAAATATAATATTTTTTAAATCAATCATAATTTGCTAGGTACCATATTAACATGTATATATAACTGAAAAAGGAACAAGAATAAAATGGAAGGGGAAAAATATCCGAATTACTGTGTGCAATGTCCCATTATTTATATAACTTTAATATACACTAGAATTAAAATGTTTCTCCATTGTTTATTTCAACAAGTTAAAATGGTTTGAATTAATTTCTCACATCAGTAGTTTTAAAACAATACTAAAAGCTAAACAACTAGAATTCACTACCTTGACAAAACATCCGAAACAATTGTCACTATCCGAAAATAAACTAGTTTTATTCAACTCTATAAATCCCTCGTTTTTCCGTCAGATAATTGACCTACCTGCATTTTTTGACCCGTGCTATCCATTCCTTCAAATCTGAAGAGGACCGAAACAAATTTAACTTCTATACCCCTCGAGTTCTTCGGGTTACCTATATGCGTAACGGTAAATAAGTCTGCCGATGTACCCGGAAGTGGTAAATCGAAAGTGAAAGTAAACGAGACTTACGGGCCCTATAAGTCATTGCTTGTTTTAATATCTTAATAAATGATCTTATCATTCCATACTTTCTTTGCACTAAACCTCTTCTCTTCAAACTTCAGGTTTTCTCGAAGTTTACCTTTATTCATTGGTACTAAACCTTTTTCAGAATTCATGTTATATATTTTAGAATAATGTTTTTATATTTTATCAGGTCTGATGTCACATGGAAGAATAATGAAAATGTCCCACAGTAGATCACCTTCTGATCCAGGACCACCTAAAATGTTACCAGGAATGGAAGGTTTGTTATTAATCTGACTTGTGTTTTTGTTGAATCAAGATTTGCTACAGTTTTTTTGCTACATTTTTATGGTTCAAGTTAACTGATTTATAGGTACAGGGTATTTGTACATTGTTAACTGATTTAACCCATTACTGCATGAGCAATTTTGTGAAAAATTGCTATTTTTATTGAAAATGCTCCTGTTATGCACCTGTTACAAGTTCAAATTGCTAGAAACTGTAAAAGATGCTTCAATATTCATCAGACTTAGAATTAATGTTGACTGGACCATAGCCTTTGTAACAGTATGCTCAATCTTAAATTTCCCGTTACAATGGCAACGAGGGGACATCTCAAAATTGCCAAAAATCACTATTTTGCGTTTCAAATTAATTTCAAAGTGCTGCAACTTCTTAATGGATAGAGATAGAGTCAAAGGCTTTTCTACATTGGTTACACATTACCTTCTGATCTGTTTTTGTTGAATCAGTTTTGAAAATACAAATCTTTTATATGGTTAAAGTTGACAGATTTGTAGGTACATGTATGTTATATATACATTCAGAGTTTCTTCCAAAGCACATTTTTGTCTTTCTTTCATTTTTAATAGCAAAGTCCCTTTCAGAAATATTCTATGTTGGAATATTTCTTAGCTGTTTATAAAAGGAAATATTAAAAATTTTTCAAACATGGCTTCCAGAAAAAATTCAAACATAGCTTCCAGAAAATTCAATCTTATAACAAGAATAATCAGTTATGAGAAAATACACTGTATAACTTTATTGTTTTAAACAACTACAAATTGTCTTTGTTTTCAGTTCCTATGGCATCATATAATGATTCAGAGAAACAGTTTCTGATTTGGTTACACTCAGTCAGTGTGAAGTTTCTGGGATTAACTGACACAAAGAGGATATGCTTCCTGGATTCAATAATCAGTCTTTGTGGATCAAAGGTATATATAGAAGTTTTCATTTCATACAGACTTACATTATTAGTTATAAAGATTTTTGACAGGTTATATGGTTCTACATAAACTGTTGTTTTCATATTGCAAACAGCCTTTTATAAATATCTGTCAAGAATCTTGATAACAAATGTATAATAAAGCAAACTTTCTTTTTAGAAAAAAAAAGATTTCTTCATAAATTGACAGCAGCCATGTATATATATCCAATGAAAAGCGACATTACAAACGTGCAGTATTGTAATAGTAAGTAAGTAAGTAAGTAACGACTTTATTTAATGAGGCTAACACATTCGGTTTTCCGATCTTCCATGCGGGCCTCAGCATATACATAGCATATACATAACAATATATACATTACACATTTTAAATAACATATATACACAAATAGAAAAAAAAAAACATTTTCATAACCTGGGCATGAAAAAAAAACAACAAAAAAACCCCAAGATACCACATTTTCATAACCTGGGCATGAAAAATACATCATTTTACAAGTAAGATTAGAACAATATTGTAAAAACAAAACATTATACATTCTATTCTTGTGTGGCATTATCATTACAACAAAATGTACACTCATTTAATTAGAAAATTACCACTTAATATATGTGGCTTAAAATTTCTTCAAAGTATCTGAATTTCGAATATAAATTGGGATGTCATTCCATATTTTAGGACCAGAATAGTCAAATGATTTCCTAAAGTACTCAGTTGTTGGTTTCGGTATGACTAGTTTCTCATTTTAAACAGATCTTAAGTTGAAGTTGTGTTTGTCATTTATCATTTGGAATTTATTTTTCATATAATTAGGAAAAGATGGCTCATTTATAGATTTATACATGAGAATAGCTTTTTTGTACATAATTCTTTGATCAAAGGACATCCAATTAAGCTCTTTAAATAGTTCATTTGATGGGGAATCAAAACTTTTATCCAAGATTATTCTAGCAGCTCTTTTTTGAAATTTGATAATTTGTGAAAGTAATTCACTACTACAGTTCCCCCATATAGTGCAACAGTAGTCTAAATGAGGCAGAATATATGCATTGAAAAAGAGTTTTTATAGAATGAAGATCAAGATATTGTTTAATTCTAAGAAGCAGGTAGAGTTGTGAATTGCACTTTCCAATAGTTTTTTGAATTTGAGTTTTCCATTTGAGATTGTTGTCAACATAGACACCTAGTACTTTTTCTGTGTCTGTAAATTCTATTTCTTTGTTATGAAGATACAGTGTAGGTGTAGCATTATTTTCTAATTTTGTATTCCTAATTGACAGAGTCATAGCTTTTGTTTTAAGTGCATTTAGTATCATTGAGTTTTGCATGCACCATGTGTTAACATTATCAATATCTGTTTGAAGATTTTCATTGACTTCTTGTACAGTATTTCCTATAGAAGTTAAGGAAGTGTCATCTGCAAAAATATTAGCATTAGATCTTTTTATATGCAGATGTATGTCAGTTATATATATTAAGAAAAGTAAGGGTCCCAGGACTGAGCCCTGGGGTACTCCTGAGACAACGTCAGCAGAATCAGATAATATAGACTAGTTCAGGAAATTTTCAAAAGCAAGACTGCGGCAAGCTGTATAACATTTTCTTGAGGAGTTTCATACCTGTACTATCAAATGAAAGTTTTTATTTCACATTATACATGTATCAGGAGGCAATTTTTATATTTTATATGTTAACAAGTACATGTATTACAACGCAATAAAGGATTTGAGAGTTCCAAAAAACCAACTCCAGGGTTAATATTATCTGGTTGTTTCCATCTAAAAAGACCTTCTTCAGGACAAAATATATTGAACAATATGATCAAGCGTGTACATAAATATGAACAATGTTACTATTTTTAGCATCAAGTTTGATGTAATAAAGAGAAGTAATGCTAAGTATTAATGTATATGTTAAACTCTAATGGACTGTACATGTACACATAATGAGATATATACTTTTGATAAAAAAAAATTATTATTTGAATTGACTTTCAGGAGTTAACTTACTTGACAGAGTTACTGCCAAATTTAGTGTATCGTGACTTCCTACGAATGCTACCAACAGAAGTGAGCGTGCGGATCTTGATGATGTTAGATGAGAAGAGCTTGTTGAATTGTTGTCTTGTGTCAAAGTATGTAACTAATTTGCTTATTCTGATTCTGTGGTTAAAGTTTGAATTATCAGAAATAGATTTAAATTGATGTGAGCAAAATTGTTTAAATGTTAGAATTTTAATGAAATTTTTTTTTAAATTTTTTTTATTGATTTGCTTGTTAATTCTAAGCTAGACGGATAACTTCCTCACATGAAAGAATCTAAAGTCCCTGTCGGGATTCGAACCCACAGCAGTGAGGGGCAAGTGGTTTGAAGTCAACAACCTTTAAGGAACGTCGGTGGTTCTACTCAGGTGCCTGAAATTAATGCACGGAAGGGCACCTGAGGTCTTCCTCAACCAGTAAAGCTAGAATGTTGCCATATTACCTAAACTGTGTTGGTGTGACATAAAACCCAATCAAATAAACAAAACAAAAAGAAACAAACAAAAGTTAATTCTAACTACATGTCAAATAGTATTTGGAATAGTAAATTCTGCCAGGGTAATTATTTTGCCATTTGTTACAACAGGAAATTCACCATATATTCAAACTGCACAATTTTAGCATTTGCATCTTACGCAATGTATGGCCTGTTTAGTATGCAGTATACAGGGAAGAAACCTTAAAGATTTATCATGAAGGGCAGACTTAAAGCCCTCCAATGTCTTGATGCAGATCAGACTACTGTACGCTTGAAACCAGTTCAATCCTGTTTTTGCTGATATTGTTTTATGAATTGTTCTGTATTTACATTGTTAAACTGTAACACTTTTGTCACAATTTTTATAGCTACATGTATAAATCTATACTACTTGAAGACTAATGGGGGCAACCATACTGCTGCGGCATCAAGTCACCTTAGAAAAATGCCAAGGTATCATCGGCAACAAAGCCAGAAATTTAAAATTGGTCATGAAGTAGAAATTTCAAATTGGTCATGAAGTGTAAAGCTAATGTATGTGAATGTTTTTATGTACTTGTGTTTTTATTGACAACTGGCAAAATAAATCGTGTCATTCCGAAGTAAATCATGCATCTTATTAAAAATCATATAAGACTGGACTGCTTTGCAGGAAAAAATCATTTGTTAAGCACTGTTATTTATATTTACAGATACTGGAATCATCTGATAAACAGTTTTAGGGAGGTTTGGATTCACATGGCTAAGAGAGTTGGTGCCAAAATACTCGCTGAGCCTTATGTCCCAATACACAAATACAAAAATCTGTTCATACATTCCACTTATCTTGTACAGCAGATGAAAAATAGGTCAGCTTTTGAGGTCATGACCTTGGAAGGTCACATGGGTAGGGTCATGGCACTAACACAAGGCCGTGACCTAGTTGCTACAGGTATGTGCAAACATCATTTTCATTTTGCATAAAATAGCTATCTATGACTGTTATTTGATGCTGAAAATAATTAATATTTTTAATTACACATGTATCTAATCACCTGGAAAAGTTAAACTATAAAGGTCTAATGCAAACCAGATTTTAATTGAATAAGAAAAACACTCTATGTATAAAACTCCTTAAAGTATGGACTACTTTTTAAGTCATCTTGAATTTAAATCCGAGATTATCTATTGGAATAAACCCTTACTTAGTAAATGTGTTTAATTTTGTCCAGGTTCTGATGACCACACAGTGAGATTCTGGGATATTCACTCAGGAGAATGTGTCAAGGTCATACACACACATAGTGTTTCAGCACTACAGTTTGATGACATATTTGTATACACAGCATCTTATGATAACACTGCTGTATGCTGGGATATTGACACAGGTCAGCTAATGTGGCGTTATGTCGGGCATATCTCGGCAGTTTTTAGTCTGGATGCAAGAAGAGACTTGAACTTGTTGGTTACCGGCTCGGCTGACAAGACTGTTAAAGTGTGGCAACTTGACTCAGGGATTTTATTGAACTCATTATCAGACTGGCATAATGATTGGATTACTCATGTAAAAATTCTGTCCTGCTCCCCACGTCAAGATGGTGCGGAAATAGATATATTACAAGGACGGACTTTACAGCTGGTGTCAGTTGACAGACAGGGCTGTTGTTTTTGGACGATATCAAATAACGAGAATATAGACGTTAGTGTAACACACACAGCTGATTGGTGTATTAATGTGCCTTCAGACAGACAAAACTCTGGAATAAGTGTTTGTACCTGGAACAAGAAGGACAGATGTCAGTCTATATCTATATATAAAACAGAAACTATAGATAATAAGTGTGTACCACGACACATAAAGTCACTGAGTTTGCCGACCGACTTGCCATCAAAACAGACTGTGTTAGGGATTGGACAGAAGTTTGCAGTATTCATGGTAGATGAAGGTTACAGTCGAGTGGTGATTGTAGATACACATTCGTGTAGAATAATGTGTTCAATCCCAGTACCACCATATAGGTAAGTGCAAGGTCTTTTTCTTATTTTGCAATAATGCATATTTTTTTAAATGGCCGCCTTTGGGTGGAGTTAAAGGCCATAGGATTGAAAGCCAAGAAATTGATTTTTCTTGTTTTTGTTTCAAAGTCTTAATAATTGTCTAGAAGGAAAATTAATCAGCCCTTCATAATCAAAGATGGAAGTTACTTGAGTCTTCACTCGGGTAAGAGATTAAAAGATTAGAGTGATAGTGTCAAAAGTTGTTGTTTTTATTGTGTCGCCTTGAAAAAGGCGACATATAGGGGTTACTTTTGTCGGCGGCGTCGTTGTCGGCGTCGTTGTCGGTGTCGTCGTCGGTGTCGTTGTCGGTGTCGGCGTCGGCGTCCCCTCAAGCTTGTCCGGAGCATAAGTCAGTCATTATAAGTCGGATTGACTTCAAACTTGGTATGCATGCTTCTCATAATTACCCGAAGTGCAGTGCACAAGAACCAGTACTCTGTACTCCTTATTTTTTGAGTTATTGCCCTTTGTTTATTTTCATACTTTATTTTTGTCCAGGCCATTTCTCCTTAAGTATAAAATCTATGGACTTGAAACTTCATAGGATGATAGATCTCATTAAGAAGAAGTGCAGTGCACAAGAACTGGTACTCTGCATTTCTTATTTTTTGAGTTATTGCCCTTTGTTAATTTTCATACTTTATTTTTGTCCAGGCCATTTCTCCTAAAGTATAAAAGCTATGGACTTGAAACTTCATAGGATGATAGATCTCATTAAGAAGAAGTGCAGTGCACAAGAACTGGTACTCTGCATTTCTTATTTTTTGAGTTATTGCCCTTTGTTAATTTTCATACTTTATTTTTGTCCAGGCCTTTTCTCCTAAAGTATAAAAGCTATGGACATGAAACTTCATAGGGTGATAGATCTCATTAAGAAGAAGTGCAGTGCACAAGAACTGGTACTCTGCATTTCTTATTTTTTGAGTTATTGCCCTTTGTTAGTTTTCATACTTTATTTTTGTCCAGGCCATTTCTCATAAATTATAAAAGCTTTAGACTTGAAACTTATTAGGATGATAGATCTTTTGATAAGAAGTGCAGTGCACAGAAACTGCTGATCTGCATTTCTTATTTTTTGAGTTATTGCCCTTTGTTAATTTTCATACTTTATTTTTGTCCAGGCCATTTCTCATAAATTATAAAAGCTTTAGACTTGAAACTTAATAGGATGACAGATTTTATTGATAAGAAGTGCAGTGCACAGAAACTGCTGATCTGCATTTCTTATTTTTTGAGTTATTGCCCTTTGTTGATTTTCAAATTTCATTTTTGTCTTTGCCATTTCTCTTAAACTATATTGTTCACAAGGCGACACATCCGACTCGCGGAGTTCTAGTAATAATTATATATAAATAGCTTGATCTTATCATTTTTTTTTCTATTAAATATTGTTAATTTAATTATTTATGGACCTTTTTTTATAGGCCCACCCAGAATGGTTCATCAGCAACATTAGGCAATCAAGATTGGCTTGATGGGTTTACAGAAGGCAACAGAACTGGACTGTTCCTAGCACTTTGTCTCAAAGATAACAATATCATGCTTCTAAAGTGGAAAGACCACCTGACATGAAGAGAGTGGTGGTCATTTTGTGTAGAAAGTGATTTATAACTTTATTTACAGATGCTGCAATATACTTTTCTCCAGTGAAAAGTCTTCCTTGAAAAATTTGAGGTCCTACATTTATAGGTCATCCTTGAAAATTAGAAAAGAAGCTACTATTGAGTTTTATATACTGTGCATCTTCCTTTGTTTCCAATTAAAAACATACAAAACCAAAAAAAAATGATATTTTTTAAGATTAGAGGAAGGAAATTTAAGACATGGTCTTAGAATAATTAAAAACGTGATCTTATTTTAGCTGAACATAGAACAGAGTTCACTTAGTATTGGAAAATTATTTTAAATTTGCAATATATTATTCTAAAATATTTTAGTAAGTTATTGTATCTGAACAGATTTAAATTTAAGAGTAATTTTTAGAAGCATGGTTACTTCTACATTTGTGAAGGTATAGGGGAGCTGTGTTTGTTTGATATTTTTTCTGCAAGGGCACAGTGTTCATATTGAATATATATTTTCAATAAGAGCAATTATTATGGTAGATTTATAGTATTTTATCATTAAAGATCCTGTATGTTGTGATCAAAAAAGTGGTAAACCACACTAAGTATGTATGTATAATTGTATGTATTCTAGGCTTAATGAGGGTCCATCCGCCCTTTCAGGCACTGAGAGTACGGACCCCGGACATGTCACCATTCATGTCCTTAAATGTTACTATCAACCAAAAGGTGACCTATAAATTTTGAATTCAGTAATTCACTGAATGATACTAAATATGTATGCAAGTCGATTTTTGTGATCATACAAATTTGATGCACGGGAGGCCAATGACACCATTATATGCATCATGGAGAAAAATAAAAATGAGCTTGACTGACCGATAAGATTATGCAACTCTGACTGATACCTGACAAATATTTTCCGTATTCAAGACCGACATGCAAGAGCATTCTTTCCAGGTTTTTTACAGGCAAATTTGGAATGAAATTAAAGCCAAACATTCGTTTCTTTTTCACTTTTGTATTTTAATAATAATTATGATGTGAATATCCCAAAACTGTTGAAATATTTTATACATTAAAACACATAATAAGATACAGCAAATGATATAGAACAGATCATTTTTATAGTTTTTGCCTTTTTATTGAGGGTAGCTTTATTCAAAAGGGGTCTTGACTCCATTCTATATCATTCTTCGCAGACAATATGAAGTTGGCTCATATGACTATATTTGTTGAGTTGTTGGCCAAGTATCGTTCATATTCCTAGGAATATGTCTCATATGGAGTTGTGATGTGAAAGGACTGTATTTATTTTGTTTTATGGCCTTGGCTTGTCCAACGTTTTGTTAAGTTGGCTCATATGGGACCTGAAGGACTTTATATGAATTGGTCTGTAGGCATACTTAAGGGCCTTAAAGTGTCCAACCTCATATTATCCGTTAGCTTCTTCTTACAAAATTGAAAGTAAACTTTAAATTACAAAAAGCATGTTATCATGGGTTGTAGATGTTTTCATCTAAAGAGTAAATTACATATACTTATTACGAGTGATAAACTAGACTAACACAGTATCATGCTATAAAATAGGAAAACAACAAGCTACTGAATGAATATGTACAAAACTCATGATCCCGTGTCAGTTTTTACACCAAAATGACTATTATCTCTGCCTGTTAGCCGTCCTGGTGCAAATCCTAAGTGAAATTATATATACATTTGTATGTACATAATTATGCAAATAAAACAATTTTCAAACATCAAAGAATATGTAAAATATGTACTGCAAATATTTGTGCATATTATATGTAATCATTAAAATATATGCATTCATTTCTTATTGTAAAATTTGACTTAAACTTTAATGAAAATATAAAATTTTTACCTCCCTTAATTTACATGAAATGATAAATTCGGTAATATCTTTATAAATAATGTAGTTTGGAACCTATTATATTGATAAATCTTAATTTGAGCATTATATTTATGATTTAAGACCATAAAAAATTGTGTTACAGGAGCTTTAAGGAGAGGACATAACTTGATATGGTGAATTTATATTTTCAATTGGAAAATAATTTAATATGATGGAAATACAATGTTGTTTTTTAGCTCACCTGTCACAAAGTGACAGGGTGAGCTTTTGTGATCGCTTTTCGTCCGGCGTCCGTCCGTCCGTCCGTCCGTCCGTAAACTTTTGCTTTAAATGACATCTCCTCATAAACCACTGAGCCAATTTCATCCAAACTTCACAGGAATGTTCCTTTGGTGGTCACCTTTAAAAATTGTTCAAAGAATTTTAATTCCATGCAGAACTCTGGTTGCCATGGCAACCGAAAGAAAAAACTTTAAATATCTTCTTTTAAAAAACCATAAGAGCTAGAGCTTAGATATTTGGCATGAAACATCTTCTAGTGAGTGTCTACCAAGTTTGTTCAAATAAAAGCCCTGGGGTCAAAATTGGCCCCGCCCCTGGGGGTCATTGATTTTCCCTATATGCATATAGTAAAAACTTAAAAAATCTTCTTTTAAAGAACCGTAAGAGCTAGAGCTTAGATATTTGGCATGAAACATCTTCTAGTGAGTGTCTACCAAGTTTGTTCAAATAAAAGCCCTGGGGTCAAAATTGGCCCCGCCCCGGGGGGTCATTGATTTTTCCCTATATGCATATAGTAAAAACTTAAGAAATCTTCTTTTAAAGAACCGTAAGAGCTAGAGCTTAGATATTTAGCATGAAACATCTTCTAGTGAATGTCTACCAAGTTTGTTCAAATAAAAGCCCTGGGGTCAAAATTGGCCCCGCCCCAGGGGGTCATTGATTTTCCCTATATGCATATAGTAAAAACTTAAAAAATCTTCTTTTAAAGAACCCAAAGAGCTAGAGCTAAGATATTAAGCATGAAACATCTTCTAGTGAGTGTCTACCAAGTTTGTTCAAATTAAAGCCCTGGGGTCAAAATTGGCCCCGCCCGGGGGTCATTGATTTTCCCTATATGCATATAGTAAAAACTTAAAAAATCTTCTTTTAAAGAACCATAAGAGCTAGAGCTTAGATATTTGGCATGAAACATCTTCTAGTGAATGTCTACCAAGTTTGTTCAAATAAAAGCCCTGGGGTCAAAATTGACCCCGCCCCAGGGGGTCATAGATTTTCCCTATATGCATATAGTAAAAACTTTAAAAAATTTGTTTTAAAGAACCCAAAGAGCTAGAGCTAAGATATTAAGCATGAAACATCTTCTAGTGAGTGTCTACCAAGTTTGTTCAAATTAAAGCCCTGGGGTCAAAATTGGTTTTCCTTATATGTGTAAAGCAAAAACTTAAAAATATCTTCTTTGAAAAAACCCAAATAGCTAGAGTTTAGATATTAAGCATGAAACATCTTTAAGTAAATATCTACAAAGTTTGTTCAAATAAAAGCCCAGGGGTCAAAACTGGCCCTGCCCGAGGGGTGTCATTGTTTTTACTATATGTGTATAGTAAAAACTTAAAAAATCTTCTTTTAAAAAACCCAATGAGCTAGAACTTAGATGTTTTGCATGAAACAACTTCCTATGGGTGTCTACCAAGTCTGTTCAAATAAAAGCCTTTGGGTAAAAATTGGGCCGGGGGGGGGGGGGGGGGCTCTATACAGGTGAGCGACCTCAGGGCCATCATGGCCCTCTTGTTTATAATGAGGGACATGATTTTATATTTTCATTTAGTACATAATTTGATATGGTGAATCTTTACACAATTTAATAGAGTGAATTAATTTTCTTTTAAGACATAATTTGATATGGAGGATCTGTACATGATTTGATAAAGTGAATTAATTTTCTTTTTAGACATGATTTGATATGCTGAATCTATACATGATATGATAGAGCAAATTTATTTTCTTTTAAGACATGATTTGATACCCATGGTCACTGTATACAATCATATATATGATTTGATAGAGTGAAATAAATGTCTTTTTGGGCATGATTTGATATTGTGAATTTATACATGATTTGATAGAGTGAATTAAATTTCTTTTTAAACGTAATTTGGTATGGTTAACTGTCATTTTCATTAAGGAAAAAATTGATTTGTTATTTAGGGGATGTTGTTATGTATATGTAAATTTCCATGATTTTATTTGATATGGTTTATTATGTGTTGAATTGGGTAATTATGTTATGATGTCCTTGTTGAACATACATTGTACTATTGTTTAGTCCCCGGCTGATTTCATTGGAGGGGTTTACACTTTGTCTGGGATTGCTGCATTGACTATAATACTGGTAGAGGACTGCTGCATTGACCATGAAAGCTCTTGCTTCTTTTATTTTTTGTTATAAAAACACATAGATTAGTTGATTAATTGATAACCTGTAGCTTCATAGTACTAAAAACAAAATCACACATTTTTAATCACACTAAATATTCAGTTTAAATTAAACAACATTTTATTCATTATCTTTTCATTAACATACACATGGGCATCATAAGGGTGTCCATGAGCGAGTGGTGAAGGCGTTTCAATTTAATCAACTTGGGTTGCAATCCTCAACAGGGACTTCGGATTTTTTCATGTGAGAATGTTTTCCAGCTAGCTTACGGAACCTTGGTGGTTCTTCTCAGGTGTCTGAAATAATGCACGGAAGAGCACCTTAATTAGGTCTTCAGCCACCAGCAAAGCTGGAAAGTGGCCATATGACCTATACTGTGTTGTTGCAATGTAAAACCCAACCAAACAAACATTATAATATTATACAAATTGTATTATTTTACATAAAAAAAAGATTTTACAGATTGTGCAATCTTCAAAAGCTTTAAAAAAAAAGCAACAACAAAAGTTCAGTAATCAGTATTTTACTTATTATTTAAAATGGTAAATCCAACTAGCAGAGATATATGGCTTAGCACTGGTCTTATACATTATACAAGTACATGTATGTGTTCTAAGCTACCTTATACAATTACTGTTAGCTATCTTATACTAGTCTTATACAAATATTCTATGCTATCCTTTACAAATATTCTAAACTATCTTATACAAGTATTCTAAGCTATCTTATACACAAATATACTAAACAATCTTATACAGGTACTGTAAGGTATCCTTTACAAGTATTCTAAGCTATCTTATACAAGTACTGAAAACTGTCCAATACAAATACCCTAAGGTAAATGTAAGCTATCTTATACATGTACTATATGCTATCCTATACATATACTTTAAGGTATCTTAAACAAGTACATGTGCTACATTATACAAGTATTCTAAGCTACATTATACAAGTATTCTCAGCTACATTATACAAGTATTCTAAGCTACATTATACAAGTATTCTAAGCTACATTATACAAGTATTCTAAGCTGCATTATACAAGTATTCTAAGCTACATTATACAAGTATTCTAAGCTATCCTTTACAAGTATTCTAAGCTACATTATACAAGTATTCTAAGCTACATTATACAAGTCTTCTAAGCTACATTATACAAGTATTCTAAGCTACATTATACAAGTATTCTAAGCTATCCTTTACAAGTATTCTAAGCTACATTATACAAGTATTCTAAGCTACATTATACAAGTATTCTAAGCTACATTATACAAGTATTCTAAGCTACATTATACAAGTATTCTTAGCTACATTATACAAGTATTCTTAGCTATCCTTTACAAGTATTCTAAGCTACATTATACAAGTATTCTAAGGTACATTATACAAGTACACTGTATTCTTAGCTACATTATACAAGTATTCTTAGCTACATTATACAAGTATTCTAAGCTACATTACACAAATATTCTAAGCTACATTATACAAATATTCAAAGATACATTATTTGACATTTGCCAGCCCACCACAAGAATGCAGTAAGTTTGTTTAGAAACCATTTTGTTGATTA